AGATCTGCTACTGGGCCATCTAATAGATCTGCTACTGGGCCATCTAATAGATCTGCTACTGGGCCATCTAATAGATCTGCTACTGGGCCATCTAATAGATCAGCTACTGGGCCATCTAATAGATCTGCTACTGGGACATCTAATAGATCTGCTACTGGGCCATCTAATAGATCTGCTACTGGGCCATCTAATAGATCTGCTACTGGGCCATCTAATAGATCTGCTACTGGGCCATCTAATACATCTGCTACTGGGCCATCTAATAGATTGCTACTGGGCCATCTAATAGATCTGCTACTGGGCCATCTAATAGATCAGCTACTGGGCCATCTAATAGATCTGCTACAGGGCCATCTAATAGATTAGCTACTGGGCCATCTAATAGATCTGCTACTGCGCCATCTAATAAATCTGCTACTGGGACATCTAATAGATCTGCTACTGGGCCATCTAATAGATCAGCTACTGGGCCATCTAATAGATCTGCTACTGGGCCATCTAATAGATCTGCTACTGGGCCATCTAATAGATCTGCTACTGGGCCATCTAATAGATCTGCTACTGGGCCATCTAATAGATCTGCTACTGGGCCATCTAATAGATCTGCTACTGGGCCATCTAATAGATCAGCTACTGGGCCATCTAATAGATCTGCTACTGGGCCATCTAATAGATCTGCTACTGGGCCATCTAATAGATCTGCTACTGGACCATCTAATAGATCAGCTACTGGGCCATCTAATAGATCTGCTACTGGGCCATCTAATAGATCTGCTACTTGGCCATCTAATAGATCTGCTACTGGGCCATCTAATAGATCTGCTACTGGGCCATCTAATAGATCTGCTACTGGGCCATCTAATAGATCTGCTACTGGGCCATCTAATAGATCTGCTACTGGGCCATCTAATAGATCTGCTACTGGGCCATCTAATAGATCTGCTACTGGGCCATCTAATAGATCAGCTACTGGGCCATCTAATAGATCTGCTACTGGGCCATCTAATAGATCTGCTACTGGGCCATCTAATAGATCTGCTACTGGACCATCTAATAGATCAGCTACTGGGCCATCTAATAGATCTGCTACTGGGCCATCTAATAGATCTGCTACTGGGCCATCTAATAGATCTGCTACTGGGCCATCTAATAGATCTGCTACTGGGCCATCTAATAGATCTGCTACTGGGCCATCTAATAGATCTGCTACTGGGCCATCTAATAGATCTGCTACTGGGCCATCTAATAGATCAGCTACTGGGCCATCTAATACATCTGCTACTGGGCCATCTAATAGATTGCTACTGGGCCATCTAATACATCTGCTACTGGGCCATCTAATAGATCTGCTACTGGGCCATCTAATAGATTGCTACTGGGCCATCTAATAGATCTGCTACTGGGCCATCTAATAGATCAGCTACTGGGCCATCTAATAGATCTGCTACTGGGCCATCTAATAGATCTGCTACTGGGCCATCTAATAGATCTGCTACTGGGACATCTAATAGATCTGCTACTGGGCCATCTAATAGATCAGCTACTGGGCCATCTAATAGATCTGCTACTGGGCCATCTAATAGATCTGCTACTGGGCCATCTAATAGATCTGCTACTGGGCCATCTAATAGATCTGCTACTGGGCCATCTAATAGATCTGCTACTGGGCCATCTAATAGATCTGCTACTGGGCCATCTAATAGATCTGCTACTGGGCCATCTAATAGATCTGCTACTGGGCCATCTAATAGATCAGCTACTGGGCCATCTAATAGATCTGCTACTGGGCCATCTAATAGATCTGCTACTGGGCCATCTAATAGATCTGCTACTGGACCATCTAATAGATCAGCTACTGGGCCATCTAATAGATCAGCTACTGAGCCATCTAATAGATCTGCTACTGGGCCATCTAATAGATCTGCTACTGGGCCATCTAATAGATCAGCTACTGGGCCATCTAATAGATCTGCTAATGGGCCATCTAATAGATCTGCTACTGGGCCATTTAATAGATCTGCCACTGGGCCATCTAATAGATCTGCTACTGGGCCATCTAATAGATCTGCTACTGGGCCATCTAATAGATCTGCTACTGGACAATCAAATAGATCTGCTACTGGGCCATCTAATAGATCTGCTACTGGGCCATCTAATAGATCTGCTACAGGGCCATCTAATAGATTTGCTACTGGGCCATCTAATAGATCTGCCACTGGGCCATCTAATAGATCAGCCACTGGGCCATCTAATAGAACTATGAGGACACGTTACAATTTTTTTCTAATGAAGGCAAAGCTACACATTTAAACTTAAGTGTTTGTGTGTATGTGTGTGTATGCGTCTATGTGTGTTTGTATGTATGTCTATGGGTGGGTCTATGTGTATATCTATGTATGTGTATACTGTATGCCCCAGTGTATTACGATGAGTGTGTGTCTGTGTGTTTCTATGATAGTGCATTTTGTGAGTATGTGTGTGCAGTGGCGTAGCGAGGTCGGGTGTCACCCGGTGCGGCACTTAATGGTGTCACCCCCCAGAGCCGCAACGACCCTTCCCGAGGACAAACTTTCAATTTTCGATTTGCACCCCCCACCTCTTAAAATGCTATTTAACACTCTAATTAATCACTCTATTAAGTAGAATTATCATTTTTCTCTATATATTTTGCTATTTTTTGCCTTGGTGTCACCCCCCTAAATGGTGTCACCCGGTGCGGTCCGCACCCCGCACCCCCTCGCTACGCCCCTGTTTGTCACTTGTCCACGTCAACTGACACCTCTATAGGGCACCTGTCATAGCCGCAAAAAACGTTTACGTAGTATGGAGGTGAAAGTCTGAAAAGTATTCGTAAACAATCATGGATTTAATTCAATCATTTGGTCATGTTTAATTTAGTTGGTTGAAAGTCACAGATAAAAAATTTACAACTTTAAAACAATCATTGATTTAATTCAATCATTTGGTCATGTTTGATTTAGTTGGTTGAAAGTTACAGATCAACACATCTACAAGCCTAAAACAATCATTAATTTAATTCAATCACTTAGTCACGTTTAATATAGTTGGTTGAAAGTCGAAAAAGCTGAATGTTTAACTAGGGCAGAAACACAAAAACCTATCTCCACAACAGTCTAAATTTGAACGTGGGCAGAAAAAAAAGACTTATCTCTACAACATGTAAATATTTATTTAGGGCAGCAAATCAAAGACCTATCACTGCATTTAATATGTAACTAGAGCTGCAAAACAAAGACCTATCACTACATTTTAATATTTAACTAGGGCTGCAAAACAAAGACCTATCATTACGTTTTAATATTTAACTAGAGCTGCAAAACAAAGACCTATCACTACATTTTAATATTTAATTAGAGCAACAAAACAAAGCCATTTATCTATATCATTTTAATATTTAACTTGGGCATTAAAACAAAGACCTATCTCCACGACAGTTTAATATTTAACTAGAGCTGCAAAACAAAGCCCTATCCCTATATCATTTTAATATTTGCAAAACAAAGACCTATCAGTATATTTTAGTATTTAACTAGGGCAGCAAAACAAAGACCTATCAGTACATTTTAATATTTAACTAGGGCTGCAAAACAATGACCTATCGCTACATTTTAATATTTAATTAGAGCAAAAAAACAAAGACCTATCAGTACATTTTAATATTTAACTAGGACAGCAAAACAAAGACCTATCTTTACAACAAGCCTACCCTGTGTGTTAACAAAACAGCATCTCACAATATGATTGTTTTCTATTACGCTAAATTAACAAACAGAACAATATGTCATCAGGCACGCTTTTTAATTTACATTTTTCTTAAGTATAGAATTGTCTATTTCTTTTTGCAATATTGCTCTCGACCCGAGTTTTATATGGGAGGCAATTTATAATTAAATTTCAACGAAAATCTAGTAAGAACAAAGCCGCTCTAAAAGCAGCAATTTGGTTCAGGCAATTCATGTCGTATTAATTATAACTGAGTTGTTTACATGCACGAAATCTCAAGATTTACTAAGCGAGAACAAACTTTTTTTTTTAATGTTAGGTTATTTTATTTGATACTGTTTAAATAATATTCAAGTTTTTTTTGGAATGAAAACTACCAGCTTTATTTAGCGGGGAACCATCTTATTTATATTTTTAAGTTATTTTATTTCATGCTGTGTAGATCATTAAAAGTTGTTGTTTTTTTAAAGAAAACTACCAATTTTACTTATAGGGGAACCATCCTTGTTTTTAAATGTCAGGTTATTTTATTTGTTATTGTTTAAATAATTTGAAGGGTCTTTTTTTTTTAAAGAAAATTACCAGCTTTATTGGTATGATGTTTTAAGTGATACTATTTAAATAAATGAAAATTAAATTATCGTGGGCAAAATTGAGAAGTATAATGAATAATTTTTCACAAATGGCCCTTTAAAATTACCCATTATTGGCATTACGTACGTTGGTGATTAGCATTAGTTACCAGAGTATTCTGATCTCATTGAAGTTTACATCAGCTGACCACCTGACCTAACACAACACAACATGGTGCCTAATTTCTTACGTCACCTGTCCACACACCAAAGGGCAGGTAAGAAAACATACAAGGTGGCAGGCGGAACCGCTTCACAGGTGTCATCGCGCCGTAGGTAAACAAAACAACAAGAGACCTAAAACACATCAAGCGCGACGTTAAGCCAGGCGTATCGGCCGCTGGTCAAGCCCTGACGTCATCCTCCCCCTAAACACGATTCGTTAAAAAAAAAAAAACAATGCGTGGCGATCACGCGTTTCAATACACAACCGACCAATCGTATTTAATCAACTGTTCGTTCATTGGCTGTTACAAAATTCATCAACAAACTAACAGTTGAATATAAGTACCATCACCCAGAGTCAAAATTTCATTTCGTTTTCAGCTTTCTTTGAGATCGCTAAGACTTACATTACAGTGATTTTTTAAATACCACGTATCCTGCTTCGAGATTCTTGACACAATGGCCCAGTACAATGTTAACTCCGCAGACTACGAAATCGACCGCGATTTTTTCGAAGAGTTTGACGCCTTCGAAGGTAAAACCATCGGCCGAGGGAGTTCCGGCATGGTGGTGCTAGCCACATCATTCGAGGAACCGTACGTCCAGCGGGCGGTAAAGAAATTCGCCTTACACGGGATCCACACGGACGATGAGGAAGCTGAAGAGGACTCCACGGTAATCCGGAACTTTTTCAAAGAGGTCAGCATCATGAGGCGGGTCAGTAACACCAACATCATGCCGCTGATAGCATCCGTCAAGACGCCCTTCTACCTGGCTATCGTGATGCCGTACTGTCCAAAAGGAGATCTCAGTCGTCTGCTTGTTGAGTTGTCTACGAGTGATCAGCAGAAGTATTCAAGACAGGTAAGTCATTTTTTTATTATATACTCACGCATGTAAATAGTGCTACCATAAGTCAACATGAAATATTATATTGTTGTAATAAATTCTATAGAATTTTACTCGGCGTTAGAACTACGTATATTCATATAATATTTGTGTTTTTAGTTTTTAATAAAGGGTTGATCATTTAGTATTTTGGTTAAATTTCTTGAAGGATTAAACATAGCTGGTAAATCTAATAGTTAGAAGAAAAAATTTACCGCATGGTTTCTTTAACAAAAGAATGTTTTCGTTTAATGTTCACATATTTTCTTGTTGAAATATGCATATTGAAGTTACAAAAAGATCTAATAGATTCATAGGTTTATTCGAGTACTAATATTATACTAATGCTCATAACTGTTATTATTTATAATAACATTACTTTTTATTTTCTTTGTACCTTTAGAAAATAACTATTATTTATTATGACTTTAAATTATTATTATATTATACTCGCATTAATATTTCTGGTCACTTCAAACAATAATTATGTTTATTTATTATAACATTACTTTAAATTATCTTTGTTACTTTAGAAAATTATTATTTATTATTATTATTTATTATGACTTTAGATTGTCATTATGTTAGACCTGTATTATTATTTCTTGTAACTTTATATAATAATAATAATAATAATTCTTATTTATTACGACTTCAGATAACAACAGCTGTGGAGTATCTACACAGCAAGAACATCATCCACGGCGACCTGAAGCCGTTGAACGTCTTGATAGACGAGCACGATAATGCCCTGGTCTCAGACTTCGGTCTGTCTCGGGCAGTGCCTAACAAGACGGTTGAGATTTTCATGAACTTCGGCACCATGTCCTACAGGGCGCCGGAAACATTCCTGGCGGAGAGGGTTAACCCTTTCAAGGTTGGTGTTTCTTTTTTACAGAGTATAATAATACTAAATTTTTTGTTTAATTTTTTTTGTTTTTTTATGGTTTTTTTTTTTTGGGGGGGGGGGGGTCAAATTATACGTTTAATTTTTTTAAATTTAAAAAAAAAAACTTTATAAGTAAATAATTCTAGACTATTTAGTTCAAATATTAACGTATTTTAAAAAATTACTAATTGTGTAAATAAAAAATTATGTCAATATTTTATTTACCGATTTAACAAAAAAGTAGAACTACTAGATTAAATTGTATTTTTATTATTCTTTTATAAAGAGAGACACACTTTAGGTCATATGTTCGATATAGGCAATGTTTTTAAATGCGCCTGAAGTGAAAAAAAAAAGTTGAAAATAATGATGAAAAGGGCGGCCCCCCCCCCTCGTAACGCCCCTGTAATTCATGTTGTCAATATTAAATATAACCACGTCATGTTCCTCTCTCTTCAGGCTGACTTGTACTCCCTGGGTGTCACCCTCTGGGCCATAGCCCTGAAGAAAAAACCCAAGAAATGGATGGACTACGTGGAAGAGATCACCTCCGCCTCACACTTACCTCCCTTTACTAGGTAAATACCGTAAGCTCGGCTCAAGTTTATTCTTACTATATCTGAAATTTTAATTTGTATTATTAGCATTGCAAGTAGGATCGTGTCGATTGGATGAACCGAAACTAGAATGTTTATTAACTTTATACAATAAAATTAGAAGCTATTTAATTTTTTATATTATATTATACAAAACACTGAAATAGTAATTTATCATTGTTAAATGTATGTAATTGTTTTCTTATCACAGGACTGTCATTGTGTCTCTCCTGAACACAGACCCAAAGAAAAGACCAAATGCCAGTCAAATTCTTGAAGATTTATGAAACAATCAGCTTACCTTAACGTTAAGTTAAGCCTAACATGATAAGGTAATTTATTAATTTAAATTTTATAGTTCTCCTTACGCACTTTTAGTTTAAGGTTAGCGTTATATTTATTTTTAATTAGCTTTTATTGCCGAAGCAATATAAAGAGTGGATCGGCTAGTCTTCAAATTATTAAATTTCCAAAAATTAAATTATTGCTAATTTAAATATTTTCTTTTTTTTAAATGTATTTATATTTTATATTCAATTTTTTTTTTGGCTTTCTTTATCTGAGAAAATATTATTTTTAATTGTGCAGGTTCAAGCCCCCCCCCCCCTCCCCCCTCCTCCACCCCCCTCTCCACCCACACACCCACACCGATGGTCAAGAAAAGACCTGAGATGATGGTACGGCTAACCAACAAGATAATTTACCGCGTCAGGCGGTAACGACTAATTGTTCGTACATGGGTGCAGGATACCGAGAACTGATCTACAATGTTGTAGAGACAGTAGAGTGGCAAACCAGTTGCAGCATTTATCAAATACACAACGTATGAATCTTGACTGACATTGTTAGTGGTTGCAGCTATTCATAGATATCCCTGCATAGAATGTGTGTTGGTTTTAACTATAGATCACAAGAATTGCTTAATCTGGAAATAAAGTTGTTTGATGTAGAGCGTTAAAATTGTCTCCGGGTGTTTAGACCTAAGCGTCTTGGTCATAAAGAGCATTTAATTTTTATTTTATTTTAACATCAGAAATCAAAATACTATTTTTATAATGTAAATTGAAAGAACAAATGAAATTGTAAATTGGACATTGTAATTGATTTTTTATGAACATAAAAGTATGCTTAAAAATATTTATTATTTTAAAATCGTGTTTAAACTGAATGGTATAAACTTGTGAATGATGAACACAGTTTTTATGATAGATTTTGGTGGTGACCACGTGAGATATGTAAATTGTGTACCATTTGATTCTTTGAAATCCTTCCTAGACTGTAATTTTACTGTATGATTTTTAACTTGTATATAGTTTAAGTGTGTGTATATTTTTAAGGTTGATTTGAAATGGAATAAATTTTTCAATGCGTATGAACTTTTATATACTGATCATATTGTGTTCTGCTAAATAAATAACGTATATAAAGAACGTATTGACAACAATAAAATTCACTCGCTAAAATTATAATCTGATATTGTTTTTAATGATGCATTTTTAATTAAATAATAATCTGATATGATGAATTTTTAATGAAATAAACACATAAATGTTTACGAACTTTATCTTTTTAATTACTAATTTGTTACTCTGTGGTTCCGTTTGTTTGTGTTTAGATCGTAAATGTTAAACGAAAGGGTTTCCTAATTTCATATTGCCCCACTTCTTGGCTTAATCTGTGTGTTCATTTGACTTATATGTCAGCTATTATGTCAGGGGAGTACTGGCTTGTTGGTTCATTCAATAGGAGAAAACAGAAGTTTTTGTGGAGAAAATATAGCAAACTAAAACTCGAAGTTTTAGATAGATTTTAGTGTGGTAGTGAAATGGTATAAGAAGACATTAATATTTGAAACTGTTTTCAACATGGGTCTAACTTGGTCAAGGAATGTCTGTCTATGTGTGAAATGATGAGTTCCAGACTTAAACCATCTTCAGTGCCAGTAATTAATAAAATTCCGGTATGATGAAGAGATATGGAGTGAAATATTAGAATAAAAATCAATGTAATTCGTCTAAATAGTACAATACTAATAATTTATGTACCTATAACTCAGTGACTTGTCTGTAAATTAAAAAAAAACATGAATTATCAGAACACTTCAACTGATTCATTACAAAACATTCACAATAGTAACGTCATTATTACGAAAAATAACGTTTTTAACCGATACATTTATTTAGTTTCTTTTTTTTTTAAATCCGATTTCAAGTCTTAGGAATAAGGTTGTTTTTTTTTAGTATTTTCTTTTTAGTTGATTCTTAATTAACTTATGATGGGGGTTCTCCAATATACGGCGAAGAATTAAGTCCAAATTACTAGCTTTCTAATAACATTTCATATCACCTAATTATACTTTAAAATATTTTAAAGTTATTTTTCTATACATATTAATTTTTACTTAGAATATTTTTCTTGCACTAACCATGAGGACCTGGTATTGGCTTAAAACATCTTTTACAAGCTAGAGCAATTTCAAATAAAATTTCTTAATTTTTTTTTTTAATTCGTTAAAATTAATAAATATTTACTCAACGGGCCGACGAACGTTATGACAATATCATGAAACAGTGTTTCTTCAAGACTTTTTTCTCCGAGGGGGCACTTGAAATTTTCGGGGGGGGGGGGGGGGAGAGGGGGGTAGACTTTCTTCGGGGGGGGAGGGGGGGTCGGACACTGTAAAAAGTCGATATTTTCTATTCGTTCGGGGGCGGTAGAAACTCTGCCATGAAACGGACAACTTCAAGGGACATATAACAAAATAGACATAAAAGACTTGTAATGATGACCATCTTTGGCTAAGGTGGATAAGAACAGGGACGGTTTATGAAGTTAGCCGACAAAAGTTGTTTAGTTTTGCCAGCTATTGGTAACATGCGGATGACCTACATCCAATGTCACCTGACCAAGGCTTCCATTCTTAAATAAGATACAAACAAAAATAAAAACACGAAACTATTGCGATCTTTGAAATCAATCAATTAAAAAGTATTAAGTCACAGCAAGGAAAACGGCAATATCAAAAGGGGCGCTGATAAAAGACAGTAATGACCGGGCGACAACACATGCGAGTTATCTACCATGATGACAAAAGAATAGCACCTTGAGTGTGGATACCGACACACGAAAATAACCTAGCCAACATGAATTGTTTTGTTGTTGTCGTTAGGCGAGGTATAGAAAAACATGTGGGTGACCTACATAGCTGACACTTGCTCGAGGCTCAAAGATACGCCCGGCGTTTCTCTACCTTTGAAGACTTAGCACAATTATAAGACGCTGATGACGCCGGCTATCTTTGAAAAATCATTCACTGAAAAATCATTGATAATATCAATGACACTAGAATGGCGGAGGTTACATCAAAGGAAAGCCGAAAACATGGTCGCTGAATGGATTGTTATGAATCAGCGACCACGGTGAGAAAATATGACACCTGAAGCGGTTGTGGCATTAGGCTGGGGTAGGGGTGTGGTCCGCACATGGTGACACCATTTAGGGGGTGATACTAAATTGTAAAATCATAAAATATGTTGTCTATAATAGTTTAATCTTTATCCAAGGGGTCATCCATAAATGACGTCACGCTTTTTTGGACGATTTTTACCTCCCCCACCCTACCCTCAGTCACACATCGTCACAAAAAGCCAGACCCCCCCCCTAAAATGACGTCACACCTCAACCTACAACCCATCCTCGAAATTGCAGTTGAATTTTTCTTTAAACGTCGATATTTTTCCAAAATCTTCTCCGAACTCTGTCAAAATAAAGTATTTTGATCAATTCCTCTATTGCAATTTATCAAATCAGTTTTCTAAAACGCGAAATAACGTCTAAAATTCGTTTTCTAACATTGCTTTTTTATAATGCAAAAAATGTGACGTCGCACCATCTGAACCCCCCCCCCCCTCCCCCTCGTCACACATCGTCACAAAATTACGGACCCCCTCCCCCCTGTGAATGTGACGCCATTTATGGACGACCCCCCCAATTAAAATAATCGAATAGTTAGGTAGTAGGGTGACCCTATGCACAAAAACAAAACAAAAATTGGGGAGTGGGGTTACACCAAGCATAAACTAATGTAGGAGTGGGGTGACACCAAGCATAAAATAATTGGAGAGTGGGGTGAGACCAAGCATAAAATAATTGGGGAGTGGGGTGACAACAAGTACAAATTGTTAAAAAGTTGGGGTGACACCTGAGTTGGTACACCTAAGGGATGGCACAGCGATTCGTATTGAAGTCAACCCAAAAACGTTGTTTTATTTTCTATGATGCACACAACACGAAGATGACCAGCATCTCAAGCAAAAAAATTCAGCGTCCGACATTAGTTATAAAATAACTTTGTGGATCAAACTATTACTATGAATCATAGGCGTCGCAGGGCGGGGGGGGGGGGGGTGCGCGTACGGCACCGGGTGGCACCATTTAAACGGGTGATACCAAGAAAAAAAATTGCAAGATAAATAGAATAAAAGTGTTGTTTTTTTTTTGCCAGTTCAATGAATGGTTAATTAGAGCTAAAAGCATTTTAAGCACATAATGACCATCCCAAAAAGGAAGGTGGGGGAGGGTGCGGGGTAACACCATGACTTAAACATGCAAACTATAGAGAAAACAATACTACACCAAGGTGTATTAACAACCGACTATAGATAAACATCATTAAATGTGAACACTTTAACGCTTTACGGGGGTGGATGGGTGACAATAACTGCAAATTTTAGGGTGACACCCGACCTAACGACCCCACTGGCATGAATATATTATTATATTTCCCACCCAGAGTTACTAGAGATAGTTATTTGCGTGGTTGACTTGCGTGTTTACGTGCGTGGGGGGGGGGGGGAGTTGATTTCATGGGTAGTAGACTTGTATGCATGAATTCTCAGGGGGGGGTTGCTAAAATGTTTGTATAATCTTAGGTGTGTTTAGCTTGTGTTGTGTGGGATGGGTGGAGCAGGAGGGATTACTATAAATGTTGCATAATTTCAGGTGTGTGTAGTGTATGTGTGGGGGGGTTACTACATTTTTTTGCATAATTTCAGGGAGCTTGTTTTGTTGTGTGTGTGTGTGGGGGGGGGGGGATTACTAAAACTTGCAAAATTTCAGTGGTGGTTGACTTATATGTGTGGGGGGTGGGTGGGTGTTACTAGAACTATTGCTTTATTCAAAATTGTGTTGTCTATATGATACACTGTGGAAGGGGTCGTTTGTATGATAAAATGTACACAATACAACACCATTTTCCGTACACTTTCAGAATTGTGTTTATAAATATTACATTGTATGTAATGTACAAAGTAATAGAATATTGTTGGAGAACAGTGTTCGGGTGCAAATTGTTTTCATGGATTTATGGGTAGGCAACATAAACAATGTACCATAACAAATTACTATCTATTCACCTTAAAATCACGTACGCTCTTAAGATGATTATTTTAGTCATTAGGTACAATAGAACTAATTAAAAAGCAAACTGGGTTCGAATAGTCTTGTTTCTCAATTTAACGATAACATTTGTTTTACTTGTTAAAATTGTGGAATTAATTAATTACACCTGAACTCAAAAATATTTTTAACTTGACGCCAGGGACGCTCCAGTTCCCGCCCTCCCCCACCCTCACACACACACACCTAAACAAACAGAAAAGGTGTTTTGTGACGTCCATTCAAGTGTCAGATGACGTGAGCGAGCGGCAAGCGCACTGAAGCGTGTCGCCCACCTCACCGTCCCGTCCTCTGATCTATTGATGTCTGTACCTATGGCGTCACTTGACCGCCCCTGTCCATATTTCCATTATTATAATCACATATATCGATTGCCAAAAAAAAAACCCCAGAGGAAATAAAATTTGACCACTGGTCAAAAAAGTTTTATCTAGTTGGTGATGCCAATCCTTGATTGGTCAGAATTAGCATAACGCAGGTTTCCTGATACTTAATATAAGTCGGTTCAAAATTCTAGCATTAGCATGTATGTTTTCAAACCAAGTATTTGTGCACGATTTCACATCCTCAACTGAGTTTGACTCGCATACTTTTCAGTAGTTTGATGTAGGCTATTCCAGACATTGACTACATCCTTCACTGAAACCATCTTATACATCACAGCATTCTAAATCAGGCACTGAAATTTGTCTTTCTCACAAGCGTCTAGAACTAATCCTAGTAGACGTTGGCATATCGTAACTACTCGTTTCTTTATCCACTATGAGTACGGAGAGTTTCAAATACTTCGAGCTTGACTTAGACGGAGACTTTTTCATCGAGTTTCAAATCCACGAGGGCCCCGTCTTAGGCCGAGGCAGCTCAGGTGAAGTCGTCCTCGCCACGTTCATCAAACACCCCCAGTACAGGCGAGCCGTCAAGAAGTTTCCACTCACAGGCGCGGACGCCCAGGGGGACGACGCCGAAGAGGACGCTAGGGTGAGGAGAAACTTCCAGAGAGAGGTGCAGATGATGAAACAGCTTCACCACCCAAACATCATGCCCCTCGTGGCTTACGTCAAGACGCCAAGGTACCTGGCTCTGATTATGCCGTACTGCCCCAAAGGTACACTGGCCAAAATGTTGACCACGTTGGTACCTGCATTGCAAGCCAGATACATGAGACAGGTGTGTTCTTATATCTTTAAATAATTAATAATATAATATTTATTGGTTTTAAAAATGTATGGCCAGATTCATAAAAAAAAATATTTTATTATAATTATTTTATAAATAAAATTTTCTTAAATCAAACTTAATTCATAATACAATTTTTTTTTAAATATCATATTATCTATTTGTTTTATAAATGTAAATAATGATTCATCAAACACCACTGTTCTTAAATAAAATGTATTCCCTCGTTTTATAAATACACTAAAGGTCGTGTTGTTTACAACCCCTGGTATGTTAAGTACAATGCCATGTTTTAGAACCCCGCTTCCATATTCCCCGTTACTTTGTTATTCACCTGTTTCAATAAACTGAATCAGACACCTGGAAAAAAATAGAGAACCAATTTTAAATTAAAAAACAATGTTAATCCCACTATTCGTAAAGTTTGATTAATTTACGTATACTTAATCTCAAATGATTAACAATCATTATTTCCTAACCTTCTGCCCTTACTACATGATATTAATACTGTAAAACCATATTACCATAGACATCTAAAAATAGAACCCCCCCCCCCACCTTGTTGCAGGTGACTGAAGCCGTAGAGTACCTCCACAACCGCAACATCATCCACGGCGACATCAAACCTCAGAACGTCCTCATCAGCGACGACGACACTGCCCTGCTCTCAGACTTTGGTCTCTCCCGGGCGGTGCCACACAGGATGGTGGAGATGTTCGTCCACTTTGGTACCACGACCTACAGGGCTCCGGAGACTTTCAGCGACGACAGGGTTAACCCTTTTAAGGTCAGTCTACTAGCATCAAGTCCCGTCATTTATTTTAGCATTTTTATTTACTTTTATTACGCTTATGATTTGTATCAGCTCTTTTAAAAGTATCCATTATTTTAAAGTTACTGTAGTTTCCAATGGTTTAGGTCCATTTTTATTTATTTAAATATGTGTGTAAACGTATTCTATGGATACATATTAGTAAATATCAATACATAGGTCTATTATAATACATATTAATTTGTAATGATTATAATACCTATCTGATAATTCATCGCATTAACATCCTTGCTTTGACTTGAATATCCATTATATTTACATCCTGTATCAACTCCAAAAATCATCACCTTTAAATCATCTATTAACGTAAACAACAACCATCATAATCACATCTATCAACTTTAACAACCATCATTATCATCCGGTATTAGCTTCAATAATCATCACCCACATCTGATATCAACTTCAACAACTACCATATTGACATCTTGTATCAACTTCAACAACCACCATATAATTACATTCTGTATCAACTTCAACCATTATATCAACATGCTATATCAACTTCATCAACCATCTTTCACATCTTATATCAACTTCATCAACCATCACTCACATCTTCTATTAACTTCAACAACCATCACTTCCATTTTCTATCAACTTCAACAACCATCACTCACATCTTCTATCAACTTCAACAACCATCACTTCCATTTTCTATCAACTTCAACAACCATCACTCACATCTTCTATCAACTTCAACAACCAACACTCACATCCTATATCAACTTCAACAACCATCACTCACATATGTTATCAACTTCAACAACCATCACTCACATATGTTATCAACTTTAACAACCATCACTCCCATCTAATATCAACTACAACAACCATCACTCCCATCTTCTATCAACTTCAACAACCACCACTACCATCTTCTATTAACTCCTTACAGACAGACTTGTATTCCCTTGGAGTCACCCTCTGGGCTATCGCCTTAAAGAGAAAACCCAAGCTAGACATTCCGTTCGTTAGAGAGCTGGAATTGGCCACACACGTGCCACTCAAATACAGGTAATTTATTCTTCTAGATAAATTACCTTTTTGCCTTTTTCTTAAGGAACATTATGTATTTTCATTTGATCTCTTATCCTTATAAAATATTATTATACCCTATTTTTTTATTTATGCATTCTTTATAAAGAAAATTATAACTTTTTCAAAATTAAAAATAAAAATGTTTTTATTAAATATTACATAATTTACGGTTTTCTTTTTTTTACAGGAGTGTGATCGAATCTCTCCTGCACATAAACCCAGCAGAAAGACCCACAGCCACACATGTTCTAGAAGATATGTGATGGACGAGTTCAACTCACAAGTCTACATGTACAGAGGTATTTACTTTTATTACATATCAATGTGATACATTCAATTGCTGTTTATTATCGTAATATAACGTGATTTTAATGAAGATAACCAATGCTGCGACATTAATAATTTGTCCTGTAAGAATTACATATTATTTTTATCCCGTATTAGACAATCTAAAAAATTAAAGGAATTTGGTTGGGTACAAATTAATTTTCCCTGTAACAGCACTATTGTTTCTGAAACTTGTTTAATTAATTTGAAAAAATTAATTAACAAATAAATAATTGAAGTTATAAAATTAAGCATTTTTTTTTCTTAAATTCAACATTTATATAATCTTACATTTTTCTAACAAAGTTTTTTTTTTCATCATAGGTGTCTATATTAAAATGGATGCCAAATGAAGAATGCCAAAAGAATAGCCAATAATTTCATTTTACTATTACAGTGTGTTTTAAGTTAAATTTCTAATTACATTTTTAAAAATAAAGTAATTATTTGACTATTATTGATATTTTACAATTTAGTAACTTTAGTTACTTTTATTAACATTTTTAGTTACTCTTTAGTAACTTTAGTTACTTTAGTAACTTTTTAAACAAAATGAGTTTGGCCCTGGAAAAAAAAAACAAGTAAATTGTAAGAAAAGATAGTTTTTATTATGTTTCTAATTTTTTTAAATCTTAAAACTTTAGTGTAAATTGATTTGAAAAAGTAAGCAAATTTCTTTTATATGCCAAGCAGACCCCCCCCCCCTCCCCCACCCCCTAAATATTTTGCTTTTGTAATTGTCACACGTCCTTGTTCTGTTTTATAGATTTCCTGTATTTTGTCTTCTTTCACTCCCTGATAAACTTCTTAGATACTCTAACACAGTCTTATTTTTTCTTCTGTCATACAATTTTATTTTAGTAGCTTTTAAAGATTTTAGTATTGGAATTGTATTTTTTAGTTTGACAAAATATTGTTTTTCGTGAAAATTGTCAAAAAATTATTTTTTTAAATTGGAATTTATTTCATCCTAATAACAATGAGCAAATGATCATTTTTTTTAATTCTAAAATCAATAGCAAGTTTTGAAAATATTAAGGACGAATATTAAAAAAAAATGTGTGTAGCCACTTAAATTACGAAAACATGTATTTCTAGAGCATTTATTTATCGAAAATCATGTATACGAAATTGTCTCTAGAACTTTACTATTTGCCTCAGCAGTGGCTTTAATAAGCTTATCTTTTTCAATTGTTAACTTTAACGTTAACATCTTTTATCAAATTTATGTTTTAGATTTTTAAAAAAAATATTTAAAATATTTAAAAACAACAACAACAAAAAAAAAAGATTATTTTCATGGTTTAATATTCAAGATTACTGAAGCTGTATTGAGTATATCATTCCACCATAAACAAATTTAATTAGTCTGTGTAAATAAAATTTGTCTGCTTCTTTTATAAAAGTAATTTCAAAGGGATAATAAAAGTAAATTAACTGTAAAAGTGATATTTTTTTCTAAAAATGTATTGCCTTTGTTCTTATCTGTTGAAATCGTAGCCTTACCCCCCCCCCCCCCCCCCCCCCACCCTCACTTTCTTTTTACGACCATATACTCAACTTCACCATTTTGAATCCATAACTATGAAATTAAAATCTACATATTCTATTTTTTTATATTAAGCATTTAATTTTTCAAATGTCTCATAAAATGTCTCATAAAATGTCTGTATGTCTATGTTCTTGTAATGGCAATTGTTTTAATAAAAAAAACAAAAAACGTTTTTGTTCTATTTTGTCGTAATATTTGTCGTATAATAACTTGTGTTATAGATGAAATGTTGTTTATTTGTCGATTTGTTATTCCCGTTACATTCTCGTTACTGATTCATTGACACTTTTGAATAAGTAGGACTATATATACTTATATATTTCTGTGGATTTATATAGCTCTTGTTGATGGAAAGAAACCAAATACCATACACAAATTACCTGTGTACTCCTAGTAACTGAAATTACTTTCATACACATTTTAGCGTAAACAAAAACATCCACTTAATGATATTGATGTTTAATAACAAGCTTTAGTGTAATAATGCATTCAAAAAGAAGAAAATAAATGATTTTCTTAAAATATATAATAATGAACTACTATTAAAATAACTAAAAAGAATAGCGTGGGTCGCTATATTAACTGTTGAATACCTTTACTAGAATTTAAGAAGCGGCCTTAACATTTTTAAGGCAATGGAATTAAATGACCAAAAACTATTGCGCACCAAATGAGCACGACGAAAAATGTGCATATAATATAAAATGGCGTTAAATAGTAGCTTAATATTGGAACTTTTCATTAATTCTTTAAAAATTAATTAATCATCTAATTGCGTCAAATTTGATGGGTACCTGACTTACTTTCGTTAACAAATTTTTAACATAAAGGCCGCTGGGCATAGTGCTGACCTTACCATCCCTGCAAATGCCGAGGTCGTGGAACATATGTAACATAATATTATGTGAGGTGCAGGGGTGGGTAGCAAACTCCAAGTTTCGTGCTGTAAACCTTCAACTCTCTCCTGTCCAACAAAAGTAAAGTTCCCTTTCAAACCTGACGGTCTATGGGGCAAGTGAAGTAGAGTTCACTTGTTTCTGTGACCTCGGCATATGAAGAGATAGTGTGGTCAGCACTATGCCCAGCCGCCTTTACTTTCTCTAACGTGAGTTAGGTACCCATCACTCCATCAGAGTTGGGTGGACTCAGGGACGGTCTACTGACTTGAACCCGGATTCGAACTCGAGACTTACGGGTTAGCAGTCCAGCTCTCTACCGCTAGACCACTCCCCTTCAACAATAGTAGGCCCCCACAATTTGAAACAGAATCAAACACATCACAATTTTAACTAATTATTTTAACATCTTTGTCAGAATTAACAAAAATAATAAAAATAAGGGTCATTTGAGCACTGGGTTGAGATACAGTGTTTATTTTAGGACACCTCCAGGGGAGAGTACTACTATCCTCTGTAGCACGCCACCCCCCCCCCCCCCCTTTTCGGGCGATATAGAAAAAATATGTAATTTATTTAGAAAATATATTTTTTAATCTGTGTGCCCCATCCCCTCCCACACTGGCGAAAAAAATATCTGAACCCAGGTGGGTGGGTGATCCAGTCAAAATATATGGAGAATGATTTATCATTAAAGCTAGGTTTACATTTAAAATGTATTAGACAGGATGTCGCGCGGTTGTCTAATCATTAAAAATGATTAAATGTGTTTTAATTGTGTTTATCATTAGCAATTAATAGGAACTATGTTTTAATAGTAGACTAAATTTGATTTAATTGTGTTAACATTAACAATCAGTTGGGTCTATATTTAAAATGTAGTAGACTAAATGTGTTTTAATTAACATTTAGTTGGATCTATATTTAAAATGTAGTAGGGGGTCGTCCATAAATGACGTCACACTCGGGGGGGGGGGGATGGTGGGTCCGTAATTTTGTGACGGTGTATGATAGGGGAAAGGGGGGGGTTATATGGTGTGACGTCATATTTTTTGCATTATAAAAAAAGCAGTGTTAAAAACGAGCTTTAGCCTTTATTTCGCGTTTTAGAAAACGATTTTAATAAATTGTAATAGGAATTGATCAAAATACTCTGTGTTGACAGATTTCTGACAAGATTTTGGAAAGATATTAAGCAACTTTGAGGTTGGTTGTAGACTGAGGTGTGACGTCATTTTAGGGGGGGGGGGCGGGATTTCGGCGATTTGTGACTACGTGTGACGGAGGGGAGGGGGTGGAGGTAAAAATCGTCAAAAAAAGCGTGACGTCATTTATGGATGACCCCTAGACTAAATGTGTTTTAATTGTGCTTATCATTAACCCACGGTCCGTGCCGCGTGCTGGTAAACAAACAAACGCGGCTCCTGCGGCGAAAGATTTAAACAAAAAAGCTTTTGTTCAGTCGGGCGCGTCAAATATGCTCGTGACGACAACGCCATCGGCCACCTACGGCTGCTGTCGCCTAGCAAGATGGTGTCTTGTTTTTCTTAGGCAAAGGTGATGTTGACGCGACATGAAAGAAAAACAAATTCAGAGAATCCGTCATGCCGAAATCACAGAGTCATCTACACGAGGCTGGGTAAACACGAACGTGTTAATACTTGATGGGCTTATTAAATAAATCAGACAGTTTATAGTGTATCAAACATCACCAAAGTTTAGCGTAACTAAATAATAACTACTCAGACGCATGTTGTAAAATTGATACATTGAGCGGTCAAGCCAATCCACTCATAGTTTCCTCATCGCTTCGATAGATATCATTAAATCTTTATTCGGATAGATTCACACCTTATCCATAATGAACCACTCATTTGAAATCAACACAGAATTTTTATCTAAATTTAAAGCCACAGAAGAGGCTGTCATAGGCATCGGGTCCACGGCTAAAGTCGTACTGGCAACATCAGTCGACGAGCCTGACGTTAAGTTCGCTGTTAAAAAATTCACCCTGTACAAAGTTAACGCCGCTGGGAAGAGGGTCAGTGAGGATTCCATCGTTGCTAGAAACTTCTACAAGGAGGTTGAGATCATGAAGCGGCTGAAGAACCCCAGTGTGATACAGCTTGTTGCCACGGTAACGACCCATAAGTACCTTGCCATTGTGATGCCTTATTGCAGGAAGGGCGCTTTGAGTGTTTTGCTGCCCTCGTTGACTGATGTTCAACAGACGAGGTTCTCTATACAGGTCGGTTATTGCTTTGTTTTCTACAACTTTTTTTTTAAAATGTTAATTAGAACTGGTAGTTCTACGTAGTTGATACGGAAAAACATAATTTTGCAATCTTGTCCGTATGTCTGTCTGTCTGTCTGTGTGTCCGTGTGTAAACACGATAACTTGAGTACCGTTACAGCTAGGTTGATGAAATTTCATATATAAGTATTTTATCAAAATCGTAGATCCGTATCAACTTTTGAGCGATTTCCGATAACCGGAAGTGGTACTTTACCTACTTTGAATTTCTCAAAAGCCTATAACTTGAGTACTATTTCAGATAGATAAATGAAATTTCACATGTAAGTAAAAGATCTAATTCTCTACCTTCTGTTAAATTTTGAGTAATTTCGGTTGACCGGAAGTAGTAATTTACGCTACTTCCGATTTCTCAAAAAACTAATGTAATTTTTTAAAGTACTAATAATATTGCGCACTATTATGCACTTTTTTATTTAGCGTTCACTCGGTGTGCAATTCTTTTGTCTACGAGATTTTATTCTATTTTTAAAACTTTAAGTATTTAAAATGGATTTTAAAAAATCATAAAAAAAAACGTTTTAATTAATAACAAGCTTTTATGTAATGATGCACTAAAAAGTAGAAAATAAATTATAGACTACTATTTAAATAACTATAAAAAAGAAAAGCGTGGGTCACTTTAGTATCTATTGGATACCTTTACTAATGTTAAGGAAGACACCCACGCTTTTCTTTATAGTTATTTAAATAGTAGTCTATAATTTATTTTCTACTTTTTAGTGCATCATTACATAAAAGCTTGTTATTAAAACGCTTTTTATGAATTTTTTTTCAGTACTTTACATGTTTTATTTACAATAGAGTTACATGACTAAAAACCATTGCGCGCCTACTGAACATCACGTTCAGTAGGCGCACAATGGTTTTTGAACGCAGCCATTACGTGATGGCGCAGCTATTGAAGGTGATGACGCGTGTGGTGTGGTTGGCTAGACATGCCTACTAATTCGGTCCAAATTTTTATTAATTCATAAAAAAATAATTAGGCATCCAATTAAGTCAAATTTAGTTTCAGATTGCATTGTCTTCATGTCTTGACCCACGTGTCAAATGTGAATCGTATCGGTGAAGTAGAAGTTTCCGAATTTTCACTCCTGCGTTTCTATCTAGACTGACGACAGACAGACTGGCGACGACAGAGGAAGTGAGTTAAATAAAAGCTTGTAAAAATCATGTTTATAGCCCGAGTTCCCATCCCCTGCTATCTATATATATAAAGCAAAGTGGTCAGGTGCCCGATAGGGCACTTCCCGGCGCAGCAGGCGCGTCAAATTTGGCACGATGGTGCCTTCCGGCTATAGAACATGAAGGCCGGTGACGGTTGGCCGAAAAGTCTACGGAGAGGGGGTCAAAACTGACCTCGACTGACCGGTGCCTTATATGGGCTATATTACGAAAACAAATTTCCTCCGACGACCCCCCTTGAAATTTCGTGAGGTGGTAGGAGATCGCCTTGGGGTGTCACAAAAAACTCGCCATGTCCGGGAAAAATCGGGAAATGGGTCAAAACTGACCAGTCGTAATTCCCTATATAATCTTTGTATTTTATGGGAAAAACAGAGGGTCATTTCAAAACGGATTTTAGGGCACTTACCCTGTTTACATCTGGCTAATTTTTGGCATGTTTATAGGTAAATGGCTTGACCTTTAGGGAAAACTGTCGGTTTGACTCAAAGCCCTCGACGAGGGCTAAAAAGTGACCGCGAGTGAAATTCTCTTTATATGAGATCTATTACGAAAAAAAATTTCCTCCGACGACCCCCCTTGATATTTTGTGAGGTGGTAGGAGAACACCTTGGGGTGTCACAAAAAACTCGCCATGTCCGGGAAAAATCGGGAAATGGGTCAAAACTGACCAGTCGTATTTCCCATTATAATCTTTGTATTTTATGGGGAAAACAGAGGGTCATTTCAAAACGGATTTTAGGGCACTTACCCTGTTTACATCTGGCTAATTTTTGGCATGTTTATAGGTAAATGGCTTGACCGTAGGGCAGACCTGTCGGTTTGACTCAAAGCCCTCGACGAGGGCTAAAAAGTGACCGCGAGTGAAATTCTCTTAATATGAGCTCTATTACGAAAAAAAATTTCCTCCGACGACCTCCCTTGATATTTTGTGAGGTGGTAGGAGAACGCCCTGGGGTGTCACAAAAAACTCGCCATGTCCGGGAAAAATCGGGAAATGGGTCAAAACTGACCAGTCGTATTTCCCTATATAATCTTTGTATTTTATGGGAAAAAAGAGGGTCATTTCAAAACGGATTTTAGGGCACTTACCCTGTTTACATCTGGCTAATTTTTGGAATGTTTATAGGTAAATGGCTTGACCGTAGGGCAGACCTGTCGGTTTGACTCAAAGCCCTCGACGAAAGCTAAAAAGTGACCGCGAGTGAAATTCTCTTTATATGAGCTCTATTACGAAAAAAAATTTCCTCCGACGACCCCCCTTGATATTTTGTGAGGTGGTAGGAGAACGCCTTGGGGTGTCACAAAAAACTCGCCATGTCCGGGAAAAATCGGGAAAAGGGTCAAAACTGACCAGTCGTATTTCCCTATATAATCTTTGTATTTTATGGGAAAAACGGAGGGTCATTTCAAAACGGATTTTAGGGCACTTACCCTCTTTACATCTGGCTAATTTTTGGCATGTTTGTAGAAAAATGGCTTGACCGTAGGGCAGACCTGTCGGTCTCACTCAAAGTCCTCGACGAGGGCTAAAATGTGACCGCGAGTGAAATTCTCTTTATATGAGCTCTATTACGAAAAAAAATTTCCTCCGACGACCCCCCTTGAAATTTTGTGAGGTGGTAGGAGAACACCTTGCGGTGTCACAAAAAACTCGGCATATCTGGGAAAACTTCGTAAAGGGGTCAGAACTGACCAGTTGTATTTCCCAATATAATCTTTGTATTTTATGGGAAAAACAGAGGGTCATTTGAAAACGGCTTTTAGGGCACTTACCCTCTTTACATCTGGCTAATTTTTTGCATACTCTTAGGTAAATGGCTTGACCTTTAGGGAAAACTGTCGGTTTGACTCAAAGCCCTCGACGAGGGCTAAAAAGTGACCGCGAGTGAAATTCTCTTTATATGAGCTCTATTACGAAAAAAAATTTCCTCCGACGACCCCCCTTGATATTTTGTGAGGTGGTAGGAGAACGCCTTTGGGTGTCTCAAAAAACTCGGCATAACTGGGAAAACTTCGTAAAGGGTCTAGAACTGACCAGTCGTATTTCCCTATATAATCTTTGTATTTTATGGGGAAAACAGTGTAATTTCAACACAATTTTTACGTTACTTAACCTCTGTACATCATGCTAATGTTTTGCATACACTTCTATAGATGACTAGGCCGTATGGAAAAACTGTTGGTCAGACTCAAATCCCTCGACCAGTGCTAAAAGATGACCGCGAGTGAAATTCTACTTATATGAGATATATATAAATAAGTTGACGATCGATCCCCTTAATATTATTTGAGGTCGTAGACCGACCCTGGAGGGTAAGAACAAAACTTTTTCCCGTCGGAAAAAGCCATTGTAGTCATTAAATGTGTTTATATATCGTATTTTCTTATATAAGAATAGTAACTTTGTTTAAAAAAAAGTAAACACAGACATACGTCATTCGGTTAATTTTCAAGGGAGGTAACCTTTTTAAATAATTATTTTTCAAATAATTATATACTATTTTAAACAGAAACAGAAAATGACGAAGTATAGCATTTGTTTTAGAAAAAAATAAGTTGTTAATTAAAGTTCGTATCATAATTAAATAAAAAATTAATTTTAAAAGTCAATGTAATATAAATTATGAGATATACTGTTCATGGAACCTCTGTAGTTCTATTTCCATTTTAGTTATAAATTGCGTACTTTCGAATTTTTTCTCTGAAAGCGGATGTTTAAGGACATACTACATCTTCTCTAAAATTATCATTACTGTTTAGATTCAAGCACTCCACGCCTCATCCATCACCAAATAATCAGTATTCAAATTATCAAATTTTTTTCAAAACCTAAGCGAAGCTAGGCAGTATGCCTAGTTTTATATAAAAATATTCGAGAAAGTTTAGGGGAGATCACTCCCGGTTTATTTTTTACACAATTCTTCCTCAAACCTTTCCAAAATGCACCACATAAAACCAAATATGATATTTTAAATTAATTTTAAAAAAAAAAAGCTTCAGTTCCCGCATTAAATTTACAAACCCCAAACCAAACAACAAACCTGATCTTCTTCGATGAAGCTAAGCACCTCTTGAATCTTCCAAAATTGAATGTAACGAATTAGTCCAAAAACACTTATTAATATCTTTACGATTATGTATTATGTAATAATTTATTTAAATTACACGTGAAATATTAATTGGTTTTGTCCTCTTATAATATTACATCACAGATGCCATGAATTACCTACACACTTACTCTTCATAAAAAATATGTTGTTTTTTCTGTTCGGTGAAATTAATGTTAGTTATGTCCCCTTATGTTTCATAGCAAAAGCCGTGATAAAAATGTTAGTTCTTCCCCCTTACGGCAGATAATAGAACCCGTGAAATATAATAATATGTTCGTTTTGTCCCCTTACATTAGATCACAATGCTGTGAAATATTATTTTTGTGTCCCCTTATACCAGTTCACAGAAGCAGTGAAATATTATTGTTGTTGTCTCCCCTTACACCAGATCACAATGCGGTGAAATATTATTGTTGCCCCCCTTATATCAGATCACAATGCGGTGAAATATTATTGTTGTCCCCCTTATATCATATCACAATGCGGTGAAATATTATTGTTGTGTCCCATTACATCAGATCACAGTGCGGTGAAATATTATTGTTGCTCCCCTTATATCAGATCACAATGCGGTGAAATATTATTGTTGTCCCCCTTATATCATATCACAATGCGGTGAAATATTATTGTTGTGTCCCATTACATCAGATCACAATGCGGTGAAATATTATTGTTGTCCCCCTTATATCATATCACAATGCGGTGAAATATTATTGTTGTCTCCCCTTACATCAGATCACAATGCTGTGAAATATTAATTTTTGTGTCCCCTTACATCAGATCACAATGCGATGAATTATTATTGTTATGTCCCCTGATGAAATATTATTGTTGTTTCCCCTTACATCAGATCACAATGCGATGAAATATTATTATTTTTGTCTCCCCTCACACCAGCTCACAGAGGCCGTGAAATACCTCCACACCAAGAACGTCATCCACGGGGACATCAAGCCCCCCAACGTCCTGGTAGACGGGCACGACCACGCCCTTCTCGCAGACTTCGGGCTGTCCCGGGTGGTGCCAAACAAGATGGTGGAGCTGGTGGTGGATTATGGGACACGGTCCTTCAGGGCGCCAGAGACTTTTCGCCAGCTGAGAGTCAATCCCTTTAAGGTACGTTTGTTTGGTGGAGTCAATCCCTTTAAGCTAATTTTGTTTGGTAGAGTCAATCCCTTTAAGCTGGCATGGTAGAGTCAATCCCTTTAAGGTGCTTTTGTTTGGTAGAGTCAATCCCTTTAAGCTAGTATGGTAGAGTCAATTTGTTTAGCAGAGTCAATCCCTTTAAGTAAGGTGTTTTTTTTTTGGTAGAAACATTCCCTTTAACGCCCATTTGAGGTTTTTGGTTGTCAGTCCATTTAAAATAACTGTGTTTGGTAAAGTCAATCCCTTGATGGAGCGTTTATTAGAATGTACAAATCCCTCGACACCACGATAGGGTTAATGGTGATTTATACACAGTGGCGTAACAAGGTCGGGTGTCACCCGGTGAGGCACTTAATGGTGTCACCCCCCCCCCCCAGAGGAGTAGCGACCCTTCCCGGCGCCCGGGGACTAACTTTCGATTTGCTACACCCCCCCCCCTCCCTTCACCCTTGTCGGAATTTGTCAAATTTGCTCTTAATAGACTTTTTAACACTCGAATTAATAACTTAATTAAGTGGAATTATCATAGTTCTCTATATATTTTGCTATTTTTTGCCTTGGTGTCACCCCCGTAAATAGTGTCACCCGGTGCGCCCCCCCCCCCTCGCTACGCCAATGTTTATACACCATTTCTCCAAGTCACTTCCTCCCAAAAAAGTGTACCGAGTATAAATACAAAGTATAAACCCCTTGATTGTCTGTTTGGGGTTTTAATTACTCAAATTAATTATATCAGTATCGCTTCACACATTTTATTTAATTTTTAATTGAAGTTCTTCGCCTCAATTATCTAATCAACAGGCGGATGTGTACTCCCTGGGTGTGACGTTATGGTCCATTGCACTTAAGAAAACGGCTTTTTTCTGGATAGACTACAAAGAGGAGATTACTAAGGCCACTCTTGTACCTATCAGATTGAGGTGAGTTATCTTTTTTAGCTTTTATACTCATAACACAATTTGCCATTATTAGAGATGTCAAAAGTTATTGTACATGTATTAAAGTAGTCCCAGTTTGTTGGAATTAGTAGTTTGGTCATAGAAAGAGAGTTTCTTCCAGGCATCTCTTCGGGGGGTTCAGCCCCCCACCCCCCTCCCCCGAAGAAGGTCTACCGCCCCCCCCCCCGAACGAAATTTAATTCATATAGAAATTATATACGTTTAATAACAGTGTCCGCCCCCACCCGGAAATTTTTATCCGCCCCCCCCCCCCCCCTCCAAAAAAGTTCAAGTGCCCCCGGAGAAAAAAATCTGGAAGAAACACTGGAAACAGATAAGCGCTAATCATTTGCCCGGACTTGCTCTGAAAGGGAATTTCACTTCCGCCTAGTCGTGTAAAATAATTAGGCAGAACTGACTGCATAAAAATTGTATTTTTATTTTTTTTTAATTACATTTAATTATCGGTATTTGCCGGACGAAATCAGAGCATATTTTGAAATACGATTTAGCTACTTCATTAACAGGAAGATGTGTTATATTAATTTAGCAATAATTTAATTTTTTTTTATCTTTGTTATTCTTTAGGAAAGTTGTGTTGTTACTCCTGCAAGAGGACCCAAACAAGCGCCCCAGTGCCACTGATATTCTGCTTGATTTATAAACTCTAATTTGTTCAATTAAAAAAGAGAGACAATACATGTAAGGGAGAGTATTTCTTAACATTTTAAGGAATCAAGTTGCGATTGACATAATAGGGCTTATGATTGTATTAAAATGTGTATACTGTGTTAACTGTGTTGTTAATTAGTATTGGCGTGCAATTTAATTACTACGCTACTATGCTGAACCAAACACTGCTTAATTAAAAAAAATAAACACAAAATAAAACCATTTTTTTGTGTTCGTTGTATGCATTATGAAACAACACTATCAGCCAATCCACGAAGAGAAGTGTAGGTATATTTGATTGGTTGGTTCATACAAGCTCCTCCCCCCTCACCAATCTCAAAGCTGTCAAGCTTGAGTCATTACTAAACGCGAGATAAAGACAGTCTTTGACTACTAGAAATCTAGTACTACTACAGTCGGTACAAACTGCTGCTGTTCTGTCAATTATTTTTCGACATAATTTTATAATCCATTATTATGTCTGGTGGGAGAAATAAATGATTATCTCGTGGCACTGGAGCTGACTTGAGAGGTTCGCTAAGCTTCATCAAAGAAAAGAGTAAATTTAATATTAAACAGTGTCCAATCTAAACTTTAAAATAAATAACCGATGAAAGGAAATAGCCCTTATTTTGAAAGTTAAAAAAAAAAATTAAAAGCAAACAAAAGAAGACATTTTTCAGATCGCAATGGACAGATGAATTATAATTAAATTTACTTGATTAAAAGTTTATTATCAAGTGAACACGTACAAAATCAACGCGATAAAATTTGATTAGAGCACCCCAATGACGGCCAGCAGCACCCCCACTCCCATACGTGGTAGACTTGACTGGTTTTTTTTGCTCAATACTCAGGTATGCACAGCTGTTACAAAGCAGTACAATTCATATCATTTTTTAAAATGGCGATTTAATTCAATACCAGAAGAACTCAGGAACGTGAAAAGAGAAATAATCGAGAAATATTTTTCATTTGATATAATACAAGGGTGATTTCCCCTGTATTAGAACTACTATTTACGCAAGGCCTTTGGAAATAAATTGTCGTGCATAATATGGACTTACTATAATTGAGTTCTCGCTTTTTGTTGATTTTTAATTCGTAAAACATAGGCAGAACCGATCCATTTTTGTTTTCTAAATTAAAAAGGGGCATAAACAGTAAAGGATGCTTTGCCTAAAATATTAAATGGGTTTTTTTCCCTTAGCATGGTAATAAAATAAAAATTAGTTCGCATTTTTTGCTTGTTAAATTGGCTGACATAGTTATTAACTTAAAAAAAAATATATATATGCAACCTAATTCAGTGATCAATTACCATAATATTTTTCAACTTAAAAAAAATTCACAAAAAACGTTTTAACGTAATAATGCACTAAAACTTGGAAATAATCAAAAGCCTGTAACTAGAATACTGTTTATGACGGATAGACGAAATTTTACACATAAGTAAAATATCTAATTCTCTGTTTTATGCTAAATTTTAAGTAATTTCCGGTGAACGGAAGTAGTACTTTACTATGTTTCCGATTTCTCCACAAAATGGCTTATGAATTTATAAAGTACTAATGTTCCGAACTATTACGCGCTAATTGTTTGCAGTTCATTTGATGCGTAATACTTTTCATTTTTAATAAGTTGTGTTAGAAAAACGAGAAAATAGTCGGAAAGAAACACTGCCCCTAAGTGACACATTACCTAGCCTCAGTGGCGTCGCTAGGTTGAATGACATCCGTTGCCGTTGCGGCACCTCATGGCGTCACACAAACCCCACCCCGAATATATATATATATATATATATATATATATATATATATATATATATATATATATATATATATAGTTGCAATTGGTGTCACCACCCCTCCCAATTTACCTAATGGCGTCAATTTGTGCGCACATTAATTATATTAATCCACCCTTTAATTCATGTGCAAAAATCATTGTTTTCATTATAAATTATTAGATTTAGGTCTAACCACCTCCCCGGTTTTTGATTGGCTTATCAGTAGTTCAAATAACTCAATCAACACAATCTTATTTTCCCTCTGTAAAATTTGCAGTTGGTGTCACCCACCTCCCCGGTGATAGTTTTAGAGTATGCACAGTTAATAGTAAAGATGTTTACCTATAGTCAGTTATTAATACAGGTAGATTAACTCTAATTAATCATTAATTAATTAGGCAAAAAGCATATTTCTTTTGGCTGATTTAGAAAAATAAATACAATGCCTATTTCTTAATAATTCTTGTAAGATCGGGTAAACTTATTTGAGTTTTTAAAAACTATTTTGATCACAGTCTGTTGTTTAATAATTTGTTTGTGAAAGCAGTGGCATATCCAATCCATATAAGCCATTTTTAGCTCATTGACGCCATTTCCGTTTATACTGCGCAATGCGCATTTTTACTGCGCAACATTCAGTGAATCAACAGAGGAGTTGGTGTACATTGTTAAATTATGTAAGAAACTTCAGAGAAATAAGCAGCTTGAGCACTATTCATATGCAGGTCTGCTCACTATTTTAGAAATAGCTTTTGTAATTATATTTGAAAATGCAGTTGCACAAACACATGTCACATCCCGATCACTGCAAATTCATTATCTTTTTATGGATCGGGATGTTGTGACTGGGTACAGTTAAGTGTGTCAGGGCCTCGATCTGATGTAGACAACCTTGCCGTGAAAAGTGTAGGGCCAGACGTAAGGATTAAGGCTCAAATTAGGTCGCGTATTGTTCAATGTGTTTGTTCACATACCTAAACCTGTTACCATCCATACTCGGTAGACTATATTATACTTGTGTTAACCCCAGGTGCTATTGTATGAAAAACACATTTGATAATTTATTAGATTTAGAGCTAGAATCTAGATATCTACTAGAGAGATCTAGTCTACTAAATTGTTACCAATAGCCATAATTTAAAGAGATTTCTTGAGTCTAGGTGTCTTTTAGGTAATCCCTTAGTTTAGCGTCGGTTATTATTCCGGAATCGTATAGCAGTAAAAAACAGTAAAACAATGCCAAAGTCTGTCACACACTTCCGGAATTCACCGGGAGTACTGTAAACCATACTTTATTTGGCGTCATCTTTTATTTTTATACAGAATGTTTAAATTTTGGATATATTTATTTTTGTAATCATTTTTACATTTTGTAATCATTTTTACTATTTTCTTAATCTAGATTTTTTTACTTGGTCTAGCAGCTAGATATCTAGCTAGATCTAGATCTAATTAATTAATGGTCGCAAATCCGCTGCAGGCCAAAAACATTAAATTATTAAATTTGACTTCATTATTTATATTTATATTAATATATGTTTTTTTTTTAATTTTTAGATCTACTAATTTAAATCTACTATTATATTTATTCTTGTTTCCTTTAGTCGATTAAACTTAAAAAATAAAACAATTTACTACAATCGACTTTCAATTTATTTATATTTCAATGGTCAAACAAACCATGGTTTACCGTAACTCTATTTACCGAAACTCAACAAACATTACCCGATAATTTCCGACGCTAAACTAAGGGATTACCGTCTTTTATTCCATTCCGTGATTATGTTCAAATTGAAAGAGTAAATTTTATATTTAGTGAATAATATAATGAAAACCCATCTTCATAAAAAACAAAAAGACTTTAAAATATTTAATTGGCTGATTTGGGCAATTCAAGGCCGGGGGTCTGCGTGGTCGAGTCAGTAAAGCTAATGGTTAGCTTTTCTTACTAAATCTAGAATTTACCCAAATTTCAAATTAAACATGACTACTGAATGATAGACATCCATATTTAATCCATTAGGGACTAATTTTGAAGTTTTTAGTTCGTTTTAAACTAAATTACTTAATTTAATATTTATTGACACTCACTGCCATGGACAACACATCTCTCCATGACAACTCTTCTTACCCCTGAAGGCACTTGAAGCTAAAGAGAACCACACATGCGGTTAGACTTTTTAAGTGGCCATGTACCCAGAGTTCCCCACTAGTGATCATCAAATAGCGGTCACGTGGTCAAAAAAATAAAAAAAATTTGGTTGTCATTTTTTGGCCACTCTTATAAAAAAAAGGGTTGACTATATTTGATTTATTTTTTCATAGACTGATAAAACTAATAATGCTTTAGTAGGGAAATCAATTTTGTAATAGGGAAATCTATATTTAAAAAGTTCTAGTATTTTTGATGAAACCAACTTTTAAATTTAGCCTTCATTCTCCAACGCAAATTTTAAAATGCTTTTCTGGCATATATAGCCCTGCCACCTATAGCTTGTTGTTATAACGTGAAAGTCCCGCCATTTTGCGCGTGGTAAACATTTTAAAAACTAATAAGTAGAAGGTCTCTGGAATTTGGCCGAAAAATCGTCGGAAGTCAAGCGTCCGGTCCGGGCGCCATATTGTTGTTAGCAACCGGCCACGCCTCCGGGTTAGCGAGAAATACTACTAATGGTTGCTAATCCGAAAAGAAAAGCAGGCTGAAATCAGAGTCAATGGCACATAACCAGTTGACACGTATCCTTAATTCATTGTGATGGAGGTGTGGTCGAGTCGGCAAAAGCTCATGGCTGATAAATTTTAAAAAGTCTTGAGCTCAAACCCTCTGGCAGATAAGGCTTGATCCCTTCCAACACTAAAAGTTAAGAACGAAGAAGAAAAGCAATTCACATATTGTCTGGAATATTCTCGGTTGTATCTATTTCTAGAATTTAGTGAAGAGATCTTTCTTCCACTTAAGTCAACTCTCTCGCTTGTAAAGTCTATGATGAATTTATTTTTAACATTCAATATAGGCCTAGTAGTTTTTCTTACTATATGTGAAATCTACTCAATTCTCAATTTAAACATGACAACTGAATAAAAAACGTCCATACTTTATCCTCTAGGCACTAATTTGGGGGTTGTAGCGAGTTTAGGCTAAATTATTGAATTTTAAAATGTTTTGTCACTCACAGCTATGATATGACGGATCATCCATGACAACCTGGTTAAAAGTTGAAAGGTTTAACTTTTTAAGTGACCGTGAAATAGATCTAATTTTTTTTCACAAGAGAGTTCCTAAAAGTAGAATTGGCCCGTCTATCGTCGGGATATATTTATAGAGGAAAAACATTTAAGAGAATGTCATCAGAAAAGAATTTTAAAAAAGACAAGACAGAAGTGATGTTTGAATTCTTTTATTTCTTTAATTTTATAACATTTTTTATTGTACAAAAGAGCAAAATAAAAAACCATGCCAGGTAAACGTATCCATTCAAATAGCGGTCACGTGGTCAAAAAAAATAAAAAAATGTGGTTGTCATTTTTTGGACACATCATATAAAAAAAAGTGTTGAAGATATTTGATTTATTTTTTCATAGAATGATAAAACTAATAATGCTTTACTTTGGAAATCAATTTTGTGATACGGAGATCTATATTTAAAAAGTTATATTATTTTGAATGACACAGACTTAAAATTTAGCCTACATTCTCCAAAGCAATTTTTGAACATGCTTTTCTGGCATATTTCGACTTGCCACCTATAGCATGTTTTTATAACGTGAAAACCTGCCATTTTGCTCGTGGTAAACATTTTTAAAAGTAATTCCAAGGAGGTCTCTGGAACTAAGTCGAAAAACTCGCTGGAAGTCATGGTCCGATCCTTACGCCATGTTCTGGTTAGCAACCAAGGACGCTTTCAAGTTAGTGAGAGAACCTACAATATAGGCATAGAATTGAAATCTAGGTCTCAAGGGACTTTATTTGTACATAGCTACGCTGCTAATTCTAACTAATTGGTTTAGGTTCTGTTTTAACTTTTTTAACCGGCCTTAGTCCATGATGTTATTTAGGCTACTAGAACTAGATTCCAAACTTAACTAAGTAGGGCCTATAACTAGCACTAAAAATGAAATAACCATTCAACTAGGCCTATTCATTATCTTTTCCTCTTTGTGCCCAAGACACATGCCGCCACAGAAAGCTCCATTCACTTTTGTCCATTTCTGGCAATTTTCCTAGCAGTCAACCAAGACTGCCTCTGCCAGCTGCTTCTAAGCATTTTAATTGGCCTTCTCTGCTTTCTTTTTCCTTCTGCCTTCCAATTTAACGCAATTCTTCTTTTTTGCTCTTAATGAATGGTAATGACAGTAATGTGGAAGGGATTCTCTCCACCAACACAATAAAGTATTAGGTGTCAATTCGTTATGAGCCATACCGGCTGTTGACTCTAATTTCAGCCTGCTCTTCTATTTGGATGAGCTTAGCAACCTTGGGCTTTATCAGCCCAATTAGCCTATACAGATCAATTAGAAAAATGTGTTTGAGTTAGTTGATGGCTAGCAATTATAGAAAATATAAGTAGCTCCCTGAGAATAATTTAAATTTAAAAAAATTTACTACTAGTTCTGGAGTATTTCTGTTAAGGTTTATGTTTAAGTTGCTAGTTTGACACACTACATACATTTAACTACACAACTTACATACTCCATAGGTAGACTCAAGTAAGGTACAGATATGAATTTTTTAAAATAAATTACTATTTTAATTCCCCCCCCCCCCCCCCCCTGAACAATTTGTTCTACTTTAGCTTATTCCTGGCATTGTCAAACAAATTGGGCAGTGTTGTTTTTGTTTACTCATACTGCTAAATATAGGCATAAATGGTGGATTTCTTATATCAGTGTCTGATTATAGAATCAGGCGATATTTTGAGTCATCCCTTTGAATCCCAGTCAGAGTTCCCCGGCCTGGCCTCACCCAACCCTAGTCCTACCATAAACCTAACCCTAATTTCTATCCAGTAAACTAGGTATTACAACACTGCTGACAACCTAACACATCGATTTTTGGAAGAGTATTATTGGAGATAGGAATGCCCAGTCATCTCTTGATCATTAGACTGTTGACATAGATACATTTTTATAAGTAGTCCTTTTGTCCATTTCATTTTCCATTTTCCTGATGATTATAGATACCAGTGTCCGATAATGGAATCTTCTTTAAAAAAGGGGTGTTGGGTTGTTAGTGTAGTATTGTAATCTCGACTAATTTCCCTTGTTTTCTTTAACTTGCTTTCGTCTCTGTTTTTCCAATCAAATCTTGTGATCGAAATTTCTGGCACTTCCCAGTTAGCTAGCGCGCTGAAATTTTCAGGGAAGCTTTGTTTTGGATGACAATAGAATATTCAATTGTTATTATTACTAAATTGATCCATGGAAACATTTTATTGAGCATTTTAGACCGCTATATAATTGCTATAAAAACGTGGGGAAAAAGGGACATAACCCAGTAACTGTAATTTGATGAAAACAAGGTTCGGTACTCTCCCTCTTTGCTTACTGAGTAGTGTTCACTGGGTGTTTGTATACAAACAACCGTAACAACTGGTGGCCAGTATGGGGGAGACGATATGGTCGAGTGGTTGGGCACACGATTGCTATCCCACTCGACACGGGTTCAAATCTATGTGTTCTAGTCAGTAACGTATTCACACAACGTGTTTTTTACGAGTTGTCTTTTTACGAGACTTTATTGCTATACAACTTTTACGAGATTTTAATGCAAACAAACAGACAAAGACTAAAAAGTAGAAAATAATAATCATTAAAAAAGTTTTAAAAAACCCACGTTTTCTGATTGAACTAAAAAGTAGAAAATAAATGCTATACATCACAATAATGCAAGCGATCACTCTACTATAAGCAATCAAAAACGTGGGCGCCGTGATTTTCTTACAGTTTCTAATACTGTTGACTCTCTACAAGCTCCCTAATAAAAGTCAATAGTATTATCTAATCAATAGTAATGTAACTTTTACTTTGGCGCCCCACGTTTTTCATCGCTTATAGTAGAGTGATCGCTTGCATTATTGTGATGTATAGCATTTATTTTCTACTTTTTAGTTCAATCAGAAAACGTGGGTTTTTTAAAACTTTTTTAATGATTATTATTTATGGTTAGAAATTCAAATTAGGGTTAGGCGTATGGTTGGACCAGGGTTGGGGTTAGGGTTAGGGACAGGGTTAGCATTGACATTATCCAGCCATGTGTGTATTTAGTTAACTACCAGTAACCTAACACCCCTTTTTTAAAGAAGATTCCATTATCAGACACATTCTCCCCATTTTCCTAGTTGCCTTACAATAAAACTTCAAAAAATATTACATTTTTTTCTTAAACTAATCAGTTGAGAAATCTTAATACCTTAGGAGTTTATATAGGCCTAGTAATTACACAATATCAGAGAACCTGAAAACAAATTATTTCAAGTTAAGTTATGCCTACAGTACATACAAACATCCATCTGTAACCTGTTTTTATTTTAGCAGCCATTTGACTGTAGCAGAAAACTAATTTTTCAAATTTTAGTTTAGTAACTTAGAAATATTCATTACTTAACTAAAAAAAAATACCACTGCAAAAATAAAGTTTTGAAACTCCCAATGGTTAATATAGTTTCTTTACCTGCTGTAGGCTAGATATATAAATAGTTAGATTGTAACAGTACACCTTGAGAGCTTGATGGGGAAAGTTCACACATTAATTTCATTTTAAATAATAAGCAAGCGAGTGGTGACATGAAATTTAATAATGCCCATTTTCATAAAATGAATCGGTAACTTGATAATGTGTAACTTAGATTTGATTGGAGTAATTCTATCTACTTTGCCATTACAATATCCAATAGTTGACATAGGCCTACTTCTTAATTGTGGCTACTAATGTAAGAAAACTTTGCTGTAATATTACTGCAAAGGGTCAACATTTGAAAGAGTGTGGCTTGATGATGATGAAATTTGTTAGCAAAACATTACTTGACAGTCTTTATAAAAGTTCTGGTAACTTCACAAGTTATAGACAAATACACGTACAATGGACATGTTGACCCAATATTATTTTTCAGCACACAATGGTGTGGTTATAAAAAGCCCAATAACATATATTTGAGCTTTGCTCCTTTAGTTTTAGACTTAAAAGGGCTTGTTATCCTATTAAAGTAAACTCATGTCATTAAAATAGTGGTATGGGATTTTGGTGTGTTTAGATGGAAAGATACCATTCAGTATTCAATTTTTCCTTGGGACCATGAGTTGGAGTAAAGCATGATATGAGCAGTATCCAGTTGGGTTTTAAATGGTCTTATCTCAGTGGGTCTATACTTGTAGTTGGTTTTATTTTGTATCTCTATTAAATGAAATATTCTTTAATCAGATATTCTCTTTTTACCTTTTATAGGCATATTCTTTGGAGGAAGGATAGCTATTTCAACATGTGCAGATTTTTAAAAATAAAATTTACTTGTAGAAGCTGAAGAGTTTTCATTGCTGTTTTTTACAGGCAAGTTGCATTGATTAACTATGTCAGATCAGCAAATAAATAAATACAATTGAATCATTTAATACAATGTGATAACAGGTGGTTTATGATAGTAGAACTTTCTGTCAAAATAAAAATGAGATAAAAAGTTGAGCTAATTCTTGTTTTTACTTGCTGATTGTTTACTTCTTGTTTAGTTTTAGATCTTTCTGTTACTAATTTTTTCTACATTATTATTTGCTGTTAGGTTTTTAAATAAATGTACTTGATTAAAATTTGCTTGGTTCTAATTTTATGAGGATTTATAAACTTAATATTTGGAGTAGCATAAAAAAAATAGCTAAAAACTAGAATAAGTCACAACTGCTGTTTTTATGTGCCAAAATGTAGAATAACTACTTAAATCTTTTTTAAAAAAAAAATATTCCCTCAACTATTAACAATACAATTGTTCTGATGCATACTTGTTGCCTAACATAGTGGAATGTAGTTTTAGTTCTGCATCTTGTTTAACATTTGAACTTCACAAAAGCCAGGTTGTTTGGAGTTTAAATTTTAAAAATTCCATCTATTTGTAAGTTCAGTTTTTATCATTTTTCCTCTTTAACTTTTCAGATGTTATGATTGCAGCTCAAATCAGGATATTATCTCTTGATTCATCCAACTTTCATGAGCTTGTGTTTAACTAAACTTCAGTTTCACTATTCTACTCACCCAAAAAAAGTTTGATCATTATTGTTTGTAAAATCAATTCATTGAATTCTCAAGCTCACTTGAAAAGCTGTAAAATGTGTGTGACTTGTTAAACTTTTTCTTTACCACTGAGCATCATGTCAAAGAAACCAAATAAATCTCGTGAGAATTCAGCTGCTGCTGAGCGGTTGGCAGACTGGAGAGGAGCGGATAATTACATGGGACAGGGCACTCTATCTATTGCAGACTCTGATTCACCAGAGTATGATCCGAGAGGGGCCTTTGGTCAGGACACTGATGAGGATGTAGATGGTGGTGTAGATACAATGTCTTTAAAAGATGGGGACAGGGAGAAAGAAGGTGGCATAGATAACATATCTTTGAAAGATGGAGACAGGGAAAAGGTACTGAAAAAAGCATAATAATCTTGTCAGTTTATGAAGTTAGGCTTGTATGTTATGCATTGTCCAAGGGTATTTGTGGTAGTGATTCTGTGGTTGAATGTTTTTTAACACTGGTAATTAACATCTTGCACTATGTCTGAGTGTTCTTTGCTTTGTTTCACAGTCTTAAACAAATGTATTTTCTGTGCTTTCTACTGCTGTTTTGCCAAACAAATATATACATGTTTACATTTGGGAGAGAACAGTTAAAGTATTGTTTTAAGTACATTAGTTCTAATAAATGTGCTACATCAATATTTTCTTCTAATTCTATAATTCATTTTTAAATTAATGTGATACATTCATTGTTAATTCTGATTTATAATAACTGCACTTGTTTTGAACAAACATTTCTAATGCAATTTTTAAAAACTTTTTCTCCCTTCCTGTAACCCTGATGGCCTTTTGAAACCTCTGAACCCGGATGAACTAACATACTTATAAAAACATCACGCTCCTGCTGTCCTTCCCCACCACAAATAATCCCTACATGGAAAAAAACACTTGTTGCAACCAACCTGTGACTTAATTATTCTGATGGATTTGTTAAATCACAAGCTACAGGATAAGAAAAGTAGTATGTCATCCTTGGCTATTGACCCCAGTACAGGCAAAAAACAAGTTTCAGTCACAATGCCTGGACAGAGCAAAGCTAAGCCCTGTGTTCCACAGAGACCTTCAGTCAAAGCTGATTTGGTAAGGAAATTTAAACCTCACTCTTTGTAATAAAACTTAAACATATAAACCCACAGTTAGTTAGAATTTATTATTATATATGGTTATATGCTTTTCTGTAACAGTAAATTATTAAGTTTACTAGTTGGAGATGTTTTTGCCTGTACTGTAAAGTAGTAAAAATGAGTTTTGAAATACAGTAAAATCACAAGTACTGTTACTTAGCTGTGATTGTATCTCACAGTGGGTAAACAGATACCAAGTGGCATCTGGTATATCTCGGCAGCTACATGTAGTATTGTCATATCTTGTCAGCCAGCTGTTGACTGAAGCAGTTTGTGTCCTTGTGCACCAGGAAGCAAGTGCTTGAATATATTTATCTTTCAGAGATATTTTCCACTATAATGCTGTTTTTGTCTTGCCAACTGTTGTATAGAGCCACTTAGCAGTTAAATTTAGCATAAACTTTGTATCATATGATGAGAGTATAAACATTGCTTTTGATTATAAATATGTTACTTTCACCAATTTTAAAATTAATTTTTGACTACAAATGACACAGCAAGGCTTTTTTTTTGTACTTTTTTTTTAAAAACCTCTTTTACAATTATTGAATGAGTCTCTTTTTAAAGGTTGTCTTTTATAAATTTTAGGATGTTGCCAAAGAGTTTAAAAAATGTAAAGAAGAAGCAGCTTCTAGATTGGATCTTAGTAAATCACAGGTAATGTTATTATAAAAATTGGAATTATTAATCTATATATACATCTTATAACATGGGTACTATTGTTAACTTTATTTTTACTTCCCTATTGTCAGTGCCAGCATGTTATAAAGTATTTCAACAATATACACATCTCATCCCTGACCGCCCCTTCCTCATTTGTATGTTGTAGATTTCATCACTACCAACAAGTATAAAAGAATTAACACAGTTAACAGAGGTGTACTTGTACAGTAACAGGCTCACCCAGCTGCCAGCAGAGATGGGATCCTTGACAGGCCTCTTAACCCTAGCTCTGAGTGAAAATAATATATCTGGTTTACCAGAAACTTTTGCTTCCCTAAACAAGCTACGGGTTTTGGATCTTAGGCATAATAAACTGCAGGAGGTTTGTGTTCTGTATTGGTTCTTATTTTTTTAATAGCTTTGTTGTTTTTTTATTAGATTTCTGATTTTCACAATTCTTGTTTGGTTTTACAGATTCCCAAGGTTGTGTACCAGTTGCGTTCATTAACAACATTGTTCCTTAGATTCAACAGAATAAAAGTGGTTGAAGAAGAGATTAGTAATTTAACTGTAAGTATTTAGTTGTTGCTTGTACACTGTAATTTCAGTACAAAAAAATACCATGTATATCTGCTGATGCATAATAAAAACTTTAGGGAATATTTCTTGCATTGTAAGTTTGTGAACTGGTCATGTATCCCTGCAACTGATAAAAAAAACAGAATCTATACATGGCTGTGATGCTTAAGTCTAGATGAGATTAGGTTATTTAAAAAAATATTAGTAACCCAGTTTGGTCACCCTATGTTATTTGCATATTGTTTGAAACGTTAAATCAAGTATTGATAATTGTATTTTATTTTGCAGAATTTAACCAGGTTTAGTTTACGCGAAAACAAAATTAGAGAATTACCTAAAGGAATAGGAAAATTAGAAAAGCTTGTCATATTTGATATTTCACACAATCATCTTGAGCATTTGCCTGATGGTGAGTATTTTTCCTGTTAGTGTTAGATATTTTTATGTATACTACTGAAGACAAGATGGTGATAAAAATAAATTGTATTGTCTGAAATTCTAGCACAACTGTAGTGTAGTTTATTGCTTAAAACTTAAACTTTAAGTGCACATAATTCAAATATTTATCTGTTATCGCTTATTATTTATACATTTTTATTTTGTTTAGTTTAATAGTTTAATTTACTACACCACTTTTTTTTGTTACTTCAGATATTGGAAAATGTGTAATGTTAAACTCCCTTGACCTTCAACACAATGAACTTTTAGACATCCCAGAATCAATTGGCAATCTGAAAGAACTAAATCGACTAGGGCTTAGGTAAGAAATTGCATATAACAGTAATTAAACATCAGAACAACTAACTATGAACAAAACATTTGTCTGATAAACCTAGAAAATATTATTTGGCAATTTTTTATTTGATTGTATATTAACTATCTTCATTTTTCCCCCTCAGCTTTAATTTCAAATGGTTTTTCAACAGGTATAACAGGTTAAGTGTGATTCCAGGCACATTAGCAAATTGTGTAAACATGGACGAGTTCAATGTGGAAGGAAATAACATATCATCATTACCAGTAAGTATTTGATACTCTGTCAACCAAATACTGACGATTATAAATTAAATTGAATTAGAAATAGTTATTTTTTTTAAAAATAAAATCTGTTGTGATTTCTTAGCTTTGCTAATTCTGATTTGTCCTTAAATAGGAGGGACTTTTATCCAGTTTAACAAAGTTGACAAGCATAACATTATCTAGAAACAAATTTGAGAAGTATCCTACTGGTGGTCCATCACAGTTCTGTTCTGTATATGTAAGTATTTAATTCTTTTATATTTAAGTATTTTACAACTTACCTTAATTTTCATATTTAAGAATTCTTTTTAAAACATTGGTATATTTAACATATTTTTTATTTAAATTTTCATCTATTTTTTCGATCTTTCTTCATCAGTCATTGAATATGGAACATAATAGGGTGAACAACATTCCCTTAGGAATTTTTTCTCGAGCACGGCACCTCACAAAACTTAATATGAAAGACAATTTACTGTCTGCATTACCACTAGGTGAGTTTCTTTTGCAGTTGATTGAAATAGAAAGACCCTACCCAGAGTATTCAATAGGTTGTTTCTTTTGAACCTTTTCTAAAAACTTGTAAATTAAGTTACAAGCATGCGCCATATATTACAAACTCATTTGAAATGTAACAGTGAAAGTGTTTAAATTATATGCATTTTAAGATGTTTTAATCTGTAATATCATAATAAAAGGTATATTTATATGCTGTAAGAAATATAGTATTAACTAACAGAAGTTCCCAGTCTGGCTTTTAGTTAGTTAATTATAGTAAGTACTTATTGAGTTTTGAACTAAGTGGGTTCATTTTTTAATTTAATTTTATGAAAAAGTTGATGAAAGATATTCAGAATTAAGTTAGATATAGTTAGATATTAAAGTCATTAATATATTATATTGGTAAGTTATTTGCTGTTAGCTGGTGCATAAATCCCTTTAGTAAAAAAAAATTTTAAATTTAAATCGACAACTACTGTACTTGGGTCAAACCGACACTCGAATATGCGCATTATTTTGCGATTGGTCGATTGCGCTAGGTCTGACGGTGCTAGATCAAGATTAAATGTAGATTAAGATTCGGAATTTCGGCGGATATTTCCGCTGATATTTTTAGTTAACTATTTATCAAAAAACACGGGAAGAGGTAATCTAAAATAATGCAGTTATTCAAATGAAACTTATATCTCTTAAGCCTGGTAATCTAGCTATCGATATAGCCTAATTTATCTAGATCTATCGGTAATTTAACCCGCCTAAATCTACAGTTTCGCAATCTCAAATTAATATTGAAATCCTTGCAAAAGGTGACTATGAGGACTAGACTAACCCACCCCACCTCGTAGCAACGGTGGCTCTTGTGACCTCGCCTTGACCGCAAGTACGTGTTCGGTACTGCTTGTGGAAAAAAAAATGACGTCACAGTCAATTTCAAATAGCTGTTCCTGCAATACGTATGCTGCGTAGGCCTACAGATTAAAAAAAAAATACTAATCTCAACTACGACCGTGTCTTGTTTGTGGAAGAAAAAATACGTTCAGACTGGGGGGAGTCTGGCTTTTGTAGGAGAGAGGGGAGGTAAATATCGTCCAAAAAAAAGTGGATGACCCCTAACAATTTACAGCTATTCCAAAAAAAACATAAATATCGACGTGGCTAGGTTATCATAATGATTAACTTTGGTTCACACGTCAGACCCTTTCTAATTTTAGCTAACCTGGTCCATTTCATTTTTCCATCACATGAACCTAAAACTTTCAAATTGTAACTAATCTTAATCTAGGCTCTTTACAGTTGAAGACAAATATTATTACCCATCCAATCTTTAAAAGAATATATTCTATAAGGCATTAGGCCCCCTATTTAAAATTAAAAACAGGAGTACATCTAGAAGCTACACTAGATTAGTACAGTTTAAATTAGCTAAATGGTTAAATAAAACTTAATTGCTACTTTTGTTACATTGTAATTTTTAAAAAGTTGTTTATAAGGTAAACATTAAATTGCAATTAGACAAGACTTTCAATGTTATTTTAGAGTAACATAAACTTCTTGTATTTCAAATATTAACTTCATTAAACAATTAATTAGTACAGTAACAGTATGAAGCTGCTTAACCGTAATAAAAAGTAGATAAAACATATTGTTATTATCCGAAGAAAATTTCCTAATTTTTTTTCCTGGCCTGGTCACATCCCTGTTATTAGCAGACATTTAAATCTAAAAAAGACTTCATTTTATAGCACTCTGACCACTTGGTCAAACAAATCACGACAACACTATTACGTTAAGTTTTCAAAAACATGTGCATGTACATTCTCATCTGTCTACACCAATCTTGTTTATAAAGCACATGTTGATACGTAACCAGGTTTAACTTTATATAAAGCCAATATCTTGTGTGATATATAAAACCAGTATCTAGTGTGAGAAACTAAAGTGTTGAAATATTTTTAACAGACATGGGAAGCTGGGAAAATATGGTAGAACTAAACCTAGGAACCAACCAGCTGACAAAAATTCCAGATGACATTCACAACCTTCACAAGTTGGAAGTTCTTATCCTTAGTAATAATTCTTTACGTGTAAGTTGTTAGAGCCTTGATTAATCTGATAATTAAAATGTTGATAATCTACATCAAATAAAAGATATACGTTGTTAAAGGTTTAACCTAAAAGCAGTTGAGATTTACCAGTTTTACTGCACTGTGAAGTGAAATGTTAAAAATGTTATAGTAAATAAACCTCTTTACTAACTAATATTTTAATTTATAAGTAGTGTTTTTTTACTTTACAGAGGTTACCTGCCAACATTGGAAGTTTAAAAAAATTGCGAGTTTTAGACTTAGAAGAGAATAAACTCGAGTTTTTACCTTCTGAAATAGGTAACACTGATTAGTTATAAATAATACATCTTAAAAAAGTAGCACACAATTTATTCACCCCAGTTTTGTTTGTTTTTTAATTAAATATACTTGAACTTCAGACAAATTCATCACATTATAAACAAGACATTGAAATTTTATTTGTATAGGTCATCTTCAAGAGTTACAGAAACTAATAGTCCAAACAAATCAGTTGACCTCATTACCAAGAACTATTGGGTAAGTGTAATTTAATCTTCCTTCCCTGTCTTATCCCCCAGATAAAGCAAGTGATCATCCCATGTGCATAATACATTTTATGTTTTCATTTGTTATCTAAATTTTTAAAATGTTGACTCAACATCTAGGCTTTATAAGTATATTGTATATCAACAGATTTTTGAAGAACTTACAATATCTTGGTGCTGGTGAAAATAAACTAAATTCACTGCCAGTTGAAATAGGTAATTGACTTGTTTAACATATCTTTTTATAGTTTTGTACATATTTTTTCAGACACTTATTCAGTATAAACTAATAATTTATGCATTATACAACTTTAGTTGTGTGGAGTGATTTTTTTAATGGAAATATTAATGATATTAAATTAATAAAGCTAACTTCTTAAAGCATTGGTCACAAATGTATAAATATTTTTCTTAAAGTATAACTTGTCTTTATATTTTGTTGTTGACAGGGGCACTTTCATCATTAGAGTCATTGTACATAAATGACAACCAAGAACTTCACAGTTTGCCAAGTGAGCTTGCATTCTGTGCAAATCTTCAGATAATGTCCATAGAGAACTGTCCATTGAGTCAAATCCCAGCAGATATTGTGGCCCGTGGTCCCTCACTAGTTATACAGGTATGCCAAGTTCTCCTTGTTCATTCAGACATTGTTTTACATAGTACACTTAGTCTATTTTATAACGCTCTGAAATTTCATGTTGAAGCATTGGTTTTGACTTACTGTATGCAATGCTGTTTTTTGGGTAAGTGTTCAGGGTTTACCAAAGTTATCTGACTATGAAAAGATAAGGCTGATCTTATATATGTTTTATGGATGTGTTACTCATGGGTGGAAAATTGGAAGTTGAAAGAATTCAATGATTTCTCTTAATACATTTCAGTACTTGAAACTTCAGAGCCAGTATACATAGTCCATGTGTTCAAGCCAGAAATTCTTGATTGTGAACTGTCTGGCATGGCTAAAACAAGCTTGCGAGAAAAGACACCTTATATACTCCAAAGTCTGGGATCACTTTGCTGCTTGATTCTCACACTCACCATTAAGGTCCCAGTCTCGGGTGAGCACCATCTGCATTGGTTCATACATTCTTCACAATAAAATTGTTTGTTCTCTCTTCGCATAAGTTTGATGTAATTAGAGTGTACAATTACCTTTAAAAAAAAAAACCATAAGACTGTAGTAATGTGTTTTTCTTTGCCATTAAGCAAGCGCAGAGATTTGAGCATATACATTTTATTGAGATTTTGAGCATATACATTTTATTCCTTGATAAAATGCGTTGTCAGCTGTCAATATTAAGAGTTGATAAAATACGACACAATTATGCTTAGTACCTTATGTATTAAGTTTCAGACTTTACATGCAGTTATGTAATACTTAATACACCAAAATAGAAGCTTTAATATACTTGAATTTTCATATGCTAGTTTGCAAGATGTACTTTCACTGAAATTGGTGCATACATTTTTAGAATTTCAGAAAGAAATATAATGGCTGTGATGAAACATTTAAAATAAAATACTTCCCCATCCATTAATTGATTTCTTTTGGATGGTGGAAAGAAGTTGGAAAACAGATTCTACATTTTAAAATGTCTTTCTTACATGTATACACTTTCATATTGCATCTATACCTAATAAAAGCCTGATTTATACATTTTACTTACATTTTTTTTTTTAGTTTTTCAAGTCCACTATTATTTAGATTCTATATTAATTAATGATCACAAACTGGGTCCTGTTCTAACCAGCATCCCATATCACTGGTGGTTTTGGTGCTTGATAACCATGACTCATCGTATTCATCATTCATACTAGAAACTTAGTAGCCATCTACAGCGGTTCTTGATAGGCAGTGGAATGTTATTATTTTAGCTTGAATGGATTGCTAGGTGTAACATTTTATTATTTTTTTATTGTATGTATATTTCTCTGTATTTTACCCAGTTGCTAAGTACTATAGGAAAAGCAGGTCTTAACTAAAATTTATTTTAAAAATTGTATAGGTTTGAAATTTTAAAATAAAATAAAAATTATTTTTAAAAAAAACTTTATTTTTCACAAATATAGTTTTTTATCAACCCGTCCCCCCCTCCCTAGTGTTAACAAAAAGCAACAACACCAAGACAACTGGTGCCTGGTCACAGCAGGTTACAATTGTATCCTTAGTTCAAAAGATATTGTTTTTGACTCAAGTAGAGTTTGAGTTTAACAGTTTCAGTACCATATTTATGTCTTTGTTGTTCATGCTGCAGTAGTTGAAACAAGCAGAGTAGTCCTGTAAAGAGCTTCCTGGATAACAAGACTAGAATTATGGATTTATGACAGTGTATCTTATTTATTTTTTTAAAATGGTCTTTTTAAATTAAAAAAATACAATATTTAGACATAAAAAATATATGAAGTTATCAGTTTTATTTTTTGTCAGCTTGAGTTTATCCAGGATTAGAGTTCAATAAATAGGCTTGATAGTGTGTTTGAAACTCAACTATTTCTACCTTTTCGCTGATGAAAATATTTAAATATATTATAAGCACCGGTTTTAGTGAACTATCTGCTACATTTATACATCCCAACCTGTACATTGTTAGGTGTACACAATTTCTATGCTCAATGTACTATTTGTGTAAAATTTGTTGTGTGATTTCACAACTTTTGGTTCAGAAAATTATTTCCTGTGCCTCATGTATTATTTACATAAAAATTATTAAATATTCTTTGAACTGTAAACAACAGTGCCAAAGGCAAAATTGTGTGTATTCATGTATCATTCCCTAATACTGTAAACATTATTTTTTAAAGATTATGAAACTCCAATTAAACTTGAATGATTTGTATTTGTAACTGTTTTAACATATTAAAGACCAAGTAATTTCAGAATTAGTTTGTGCTACAATACTTTAAAGCAGTATTGATGTATTTTGTTAATGATTTTGCTAGGTTTTGAAGTTGGCTTTTTAAAAAATTCCTTAGTCTGTGTTGGTTGCATTGAGGTGCTGTAACTGAAAATTTTATCACATTGCTATTGTAAGTTATTTTAAACTTCTAGGACTTTTATTTGTGTGTACCTTATGGAACATATGTAGAACAAGGTAGTACAAAGTTATTGAATACACAAAGCATAGGTATCAACAATATACAGTACATTTTGCCTTGCTCTTGTAAACACCCTTGCTAAATTATTTTAATCTGTAGCTTTATACTGATGGTTTAAAAGTAATGCCTCGTTAAATCAAAGCTCACTGATTTAAAAATGAATTATCAAAATTAAATATTTTGGTTCCATTAATGCTGCACATTTCTGATGTCAGTCGACATTTGGCTTTTTCTTCCCAGATGACTTTAAACATGTAGGACTTTTATTTATTGATTTTTAAAAAAAAGTAAAGCCTTTACTTTTTAAATATAAATTACAATACTCTGAAAAATCAAGTGTTTCTAGTTTGTGTGTATTCGTTAATAGCAGGGGTTTCATCCATGCTACATCCTTTATAGCCAGGGGATTGCTGTACTTAAGGAAATACAATAACAAGTTTGGTAATTTCCAATGTTCTAGAAGTCATGCTATTTTTTGTGCTTACAGTTGAAAAAAAGGAAGGAATGGGATGTTACAGAAGCCTCATAATAATTATAGATTGGTTCAGTAAGTTGTTTTTTTATCAATGTGAAAAGAAATATTTTTTTTTGTAAAATGTGTTTTCCTGTTTCTCTAACAACTGTGTTCATTTCTGTAAATACTGCCATGAGCATCTGAGTGTATGAACTAGTGGTGTGTGTTTGTGTCTTACTTGCCTGCAAACTGCTAGTGGGTGAGAGGAAATGTTATTTTCTCTGTTCATATTAAATATTGCTGTATCATTCAGTGTTGTGCTGTAGACAAATCTTGATGTATTTCCTCTATTTAATGTCAGATTTTCAAAGTTTTCCATTTTGGAATGCTGCATTGTCATGGCAACCTGTTTTTGTTTTTAGTATGATGTCATACACCTAGATTTCTAAGTGTAAGAATTCCAATATCCAAGTGGACAGATGAATGTATAAAGGACACTTGAGTACTAGTATGGATGCTATTATTGCATTATATTTGTAACTTTTTCATACTTAAGATGAAGGGGCAGTGCCAAAATTTTCTGAGGTTCAGTATTTTTTTTGTTTGTTTTTCTAAGCTCAATTCCAAGAAACACCTGTTGTATGCTGGTTAAATGTGAGAAGTAAGCTCTGTGTGTGACAGCTATGTTTGTGTGTTAGGGTGAAGGCCTGCATGTAAGGTGGATTGTATTATTGCATTTTTAGAAAATCCTAGCACATTATATAAAAAGCAGAGTCAAAGATGTATATTTTGTATATCATGTTAGATATCTTGTGTGTGACATGAAAAAAAAAAGACAACTGTCTAATCCTACTAGTGTATTTGTTATTAAGTCTATTTTGTTCCTCATTGGATTACTACAAATGTTTTCCAAGAATGCATGACACCTGCATACTCTAGAAAACAATGAAAGAGTAATTGTAATAGTGCTACAAATTACTAATGTTTTTGCATATTGTTAAATTGATGGCGGTCACCACTTTTTTTTACAAGTCTTGATTATTTTAATCCAAATATATATTTTATTGTTAATATAAAAAATCAGCAAAAGTAATTGTCTGCTAATTGTGCATAGTTCAATTTGAGAAAAAGGGTAAATAATTGCATTGGCATGTCCTTACAAAACTGCATTTGCATTATGTTTGGAATTGGTTTCATTATAAAGTCCACACTATTAGCCTAATTAAAGAATTCTCACTGAATGATGGTTCCATCCTGTAGCATTCCTTTGTTTTTGTCAGTAACTTGATGAATCTAGTAATGGTTCTTTGTGCATCACTTTTATGGAGCTTACATCTTAGCTTGATGTTTGTGTTTATCAAATGTAGCATTTGAAAACTTGTATTGAATGTGTATGGTATGCATGTTTTATTTTGCTCTTTCTGCTTGGAAAGCTAGATTGGTTTGATTGTGTAAAGAAATGTCAATTTTAAAATGTTAATAAAAATTAATAAAAATATGGGTAATTAAAATTTATATAGTTGTGTTATAAAAAACGGTCTTGGGTGACTTGTTTTTGAATTTTAACAATAGTTGTACCTTAAGTAGAATATTTTACTGTTAAAATATGTGAAACACGTAAATTAGCTCATTTTTAAAAAGGACAAAATAATGACTAAGAAAATTCTATTTAATTCTTTTTTATTAAAAAGTCTAAAAATGATCAAAAGAAAAAGATTACACAACAAATGTAAAGATTCAAAATAAAATGAGGAAACCCTGTTGAAATATTACTCCAATATTACTAAACCAGCTGATTGGAATGGTAAGAACAAATTTATCATTTCAGTAATATTAGTCATCAAGCTGAGCTGTTACTAGTCCAGAAACACCATGTTCTGTGGGTGTTAACTATAATTTTTCCATGAATCAATCATTGGTACCTAACAACAGAGAAAGTAATAGAACCAGGGTATTGGCCCACACTAATTTGGTAACTACATTTTAACTCAAGCTGATCAGACCTATACAAGGAAACTTTACAAGTAAAATTTTCAGGGTAAATTTTTAAAAATGTGTGCACAAAAAAAATATGAAAAAAAAATATAGAGAAATAATAAAGTATTAGATACCTGAATAATAAATGTGTATTGTATATCTTTGTTAAGGTACAAACATTTTTGATTGCACAAAGAAATAGTTGTGTAAATATTACTGTACAAATCACAAAAAAGTGTATTTTAAACATTCAATGCAGTTTTCCCAAATTTAAAAACAAAACACCCAAAAGCAATTTTGAAAGAATTTCAAACCCTGTGTTGATATTTTTATAACAACATTGGAATTAAGAATTCTAATACAAATAAAATATTAACAAATGTTTGAATAGAAATACACCCAACGATTTTAAATGTTTACAAAATTTTACATATATGCATATAATTTGATCTGTAGTAAAACAATAAAATTATTCTATATTTACATGACTAACTACAGAATGAAACTCCTAAATAGATACAGTAATAATTTTAATAAAAATATTATTGGGTGTTAAGAAATAAATGTGTACAAAATTAACCTTAATTAAAGAAGAAAATTAATTATAACGAGCCGGCCCGCTGCATAACATACGCCGCTATTTAGTTGTTTCTAATTTTCAGTAATTCATAATTTGTGAATTCGACAGTACCAACGCTGACACTGAAAATATTTCTTTAAAACACTATAAGTAGCTCGTTAAGGACCATAACCCCCCCACCCCCTACGTTTAAAATCGTTGGCTCTGCTTGTAAACATTTAGAGTGAACACAGCTCACTAAAACCATGTAGGGGTGGGGAGGTAGGGAGAGTGTTTGCAGCTTGTTTTCTAACCGGTCGAAGAGGAGAATTATATATATAGATAGATTAATGCTGGAGACATCCACATTGTGCAAGAAAGATAAAGGCAAGGAATGTCAAGGTATACATTCTTATAAGAGTATTAAGGCAGATAAGCATTTTAATTTTACACAAATGCATTGAGCACAGCAAATAAATTATCTCATTTTATTCACTTAATAATTAACATACCCCACATTATGATTACAACAAAAAAATGTAAATTTTTTTTTCTTAACCAGTAAAACTGATGTTTCAAATACTATTACAATTACTATACAAACAAGTTACAATTTTTACAGAAGCTAAGAATGATTAAAATTCTTTTACAATGGCAAAGCTTACTTAAAAAAAAAAATTCATAAAATTTATTGTCATTCTTGAAACATTACAGGGATCAAAGGAAATTATTGCTGTGAAATAATTTATCACTAAATCTAATGACATTTCAATAAAAAGTAAACACATTTTTGTTTCAAATAGGCATACAGGTAAATTTATTAGCAAAAATCTAGTCATCAAGCATTGCAGCTGAACACAATTGTGAAAATGCATTGCTAAGTTACAACATGTTTGTAATTGTTAACACAACAATTAAAGAATAAGAATATGTGTACACCTCAAAAGATAAATAACAACATGAGAAAAATCCCTGTCAACATTGTAAAAATTGTATTCTATTTTACTGGGGTGATTTATTTTTTCAATTGCATCTTTTGATTCTTAGTGGCTTTTGATTCTTTTTTTTTTTTTTTTTTCAGCTCAAAATAAATGCAACAATTCAATATATAATTTTATTAGTAAACAAATAATCAAAATGTACGGGGAAAAAAGAACTAGATAGTATATATACTCATTCTCACATATAATGAAATAAACAACCAAGGCCAAAAAAAAATTATACTGGCCTTTCGTACTGGGATACAAAAGTTCAAATAAATTATTACTCTTAAGTAATACATACAAAAATCAAATTAACAGGGAGCACAAGTGCTGTTTAACAAAGGTGACTCAAGAATACATTAAAGAATGTGAAGAGAAAATCAAACTTTTGAATCCAAAATCAAAAGAATTTCCAACAAGTGGAATGTAAGTTGAAGATTATGGTCCAAAGAGATTATTTATTTATAGTCCAGTTGTAGTCCCTGTAGCTAATGTTGACATGCCCCATCATCTCTAGCTTGAGTACAATGATGCTAAACTTATCCTGCTCTGATGGCCCTAAATAATTCTGGATCCACCTGGAAAAAAAATGTCTGATCCACATTTTTTCTAAGTGCCCTTAACTTTTTTTTATACTAATTGTAGTCTAATAGTAGCTTAATTTTTGTGTTTAAGTTTTTTGAAAGTTTTGGAAAAAGTCAAATCCAGCAAGCTAATAACTATTACAATCATTACTCAAATGTAAACTAAAATGTCCCATCTGTATAAAATAAATCATCTTTCAATTTATCAAATAAAATAAAACCAGATTTTATTGGAGCTAACTACCAAACTCATTACAAGAGATATGTTTAGACAAGAGAAATCTATGTTAAATATGAAAAAGTTATTGGGATCAGTTACTGGCCAGTAACTAGTAAATGTGAGACTTACTTAAGCACATCAATGTCATCTTTCCCAAAGTCGGACCTATACCACTGGAACAGCTTAGAGATGGCAATCTCATCACCTCTGGCCTTAATCTCCACCTCCTGGCCACAGAAATTTCTCGTGGCCTTATCCAAGGCAGAGTCGATATTCTCCACACTGTATACGCTTATGGCTGGGCATGACTAAATAAAAAAAAAAACAACACACTACAAGCTCTATTACGCTGCGACTGATTAGGACAATTCTTTTGCTAAAAGCATCAATTAGCTGACAAATATTTTTTCTTTTCATACTATATACAAAGATGCAACACAGAAATTATATTGCTTTTAAATATTATTCAACTAGCTTCCAGGAAATTGAATTTTGTTTTCTAAATTATTATTATTATTTTTTTTGCAAATGAGTTAAACAGATTTTAATGCAGGCAATAATATGCAGATGAAAGTAAATTGATATTTACTAGAAAAGAGCTCAAGGGACACAACTCTATTTTAAAGCCCACACATACCTTAGCTCCACACACCAGAGCAAAATGGATGCGGGGATCTAGAGTATGACAAATAAACTTTAACCTTGGGTCATCAGGAGGAAACTGAGGTGTAATAGAGGCAGGATGGGAATTGTTACCTGCAAAAACATTGGGTGAATTGGGAAATATTACCTAAAACTTGTTTTTATTTTAATAGGAACTTACTCCAAAATATAAAGATAGATCAAAAGTAGTGAATTAAATAACTAATCAATACATTTTTTTTTATTTCATGTAGCTTTCACCAGCATTTAATTTAATGGAAAAAAAAGTTTAAAAAAGAGAGAATTAAACATTTTAGATGAAGATATTTAAAGTCATAAAACATAAGTAGGAGCTACATACATCTCAAGATACCATGTTCTATATCATCCAGGGAGTAAACATGGCCTCCAATATTGTATGCTGTTGTTTTAAAGAATTGTCTAACGCTGAGAACAGAGTCAGGCAGGGCTGGCTGCTCCAGTAATCCATGAATTGTTAGCGAGTTATATATGTCTTAACTTGTGTGAAGGATGGCAACAAAATAGGTTTCAGATCATACTGGGTTAAATCTTAAGGTTTGAAAGGGTACTTTACTTTTTTAAGGCTAAACCGAGAAGTTGTCTTCTTTGTAACATATCCACAAGGGAGATTATGGTGTGGTTCTGATCTGAAACTTTTTAGAGGCAGCCTAACTGAAACATACATCTAGGACAGTGGTTCTTAAACCAGGGTTCGATCAAACCCAACGGGTTCAGTGAGACAGTCTCAGGGCTTCGGCTCAGGTCAAGGCAAACAACAGAATCATGTGATTCATTGTCATATTTTGGCACTGCAGGTGGTAGAACTCTTGAGAAAGGTTCAGTGAAAGCGCATATGAAACTGATGAGGTTCGGTACTTTCAAAAAGGTTAAGAACCACTGGGAGTGGTTGTGGACAATTGGAGCAGCACAATTAAATATAACTAATTGTGGATGGGCACAACAGATTATTATTAAAAACTTAAAAGGCAGAGGCAAACAAAAACCATGCATTTTGTGGGTAAAATATGATTACGCTATCAATATAAATGAGAATTCAGGAGCTCCAGATATCTAAGGCCATGGGCTGCCTATCCAGCCTCCACATTAGCCCATAAATTATGCTGAGAAGAAAGTGTACAAGGTTGAGATTGTGAATACTTTACACTGACTTCTTAGATGATCTTACAAAATATAACTACCATCATGATCTTAAGATTGGAAAAAAAATATATTTCTGAAAGGATACTCAAAAAGAAAACTTTTCTTTCAACCTCTGACATGTGGCTTAAATCAACTCTGCATAGATCATTTGCATCTGTTAAATATGCTCTGAACTCTGGGCTTTCCTTCATTTGCAAGTAGTTTACTGACTTCCCATCTTCACTTATAAACCTTCCTTTTAATCTGAGGATCAGAAGAATGCACTTAATGAATAATTTGATGTGCAGTTGAATTGGATCGTGATAATTTTAGTGGTTCACTTTTTAATTAGAGGCATCATGGGATTTTAAAAATAAAATGGAATTTTAAAAAGAAATTATGTACTGAGGTCACTGAAACAGACGAACCCTGCTTCATCTGTAACATGGATCGTCAGGTTCAAAAGGGTGGTTTACTTTTACTTATTTTAAATCATTTAATTTAGCCGGTTAGCCTAATTTAAAAATTTTGCATGTTCTTCAACATATTGATCTAGCTGGTCTAGAATTTAGATCTAGTTTTTACCACTTCCTTTCACCTTTTGTTTTGGAGTTTCTCGCATCTGGCATTGATTTTCATCAGGCCCTAATTTTAATTAACTATTTTATTAGGCCTAATAATTAGTAATTAAAGTAATTAAAAATTATTTTCTACCAACACCCTTTTTTTACTTTTGCTTACTTTTTGTTTTGAAAATTAAAATTATTGAAATGATAGGGCCTAATTTTTTTTATTACTAAATAAAATCTAGATTCTAGACCTACCTGAGTAATGATTTTCGCAAATTTTCGGCTAACTTTATACCAGGTATCGGAGTGTCTTCTGTTTTTAAGTCTCGTAATTTTGTGTTGATAACTCTAACATCAGACAGTGTATTCTCCATTTTGATGCTTAACAATTTTCCTTAGTAAAAGCTATGGAAAAATACTTTTTCGTACTCACTCTCATTTGCATTAAAGCCAAATTTCTTCAATGAGGCTTGTAGTAGTAGTTTATAGATCTGTATATACTTTGTTTTATACTTTGTTGATTGAGTACAATTTCAAATTTCATGCGTAGTGCCATCAGTGTTCTTTAAATAATTCATTACGATCTTAATTTTCCGAAACTCACTTTGACTCTGACTCTTCATAACTGTGAATTCGAAAGTAGAAAAGAAAACATCAACAGTAGTCAGTAGACCTAAAAGTGAAAGGTAAAATTTTAAATAGTTAAAAGGTAAAATTTAAAATAGTTAACTTTTAAGTAGTTCCTAATAGTATAGTATCGTCCGACGCTGTAAGAAAATATTGCCTAACGTTAGAAAGGTCTTTTAGGCCGATATTTGTAACGAAGTGACTACTCGACTCGGAAGATGATTGAAGAAGATTTTTCTTTTTCTCCCCAACGTCTCCACTTAGTTTTAGTCGGCAAAAGATAGACTGCGCATGCACAGTGACCTAGGGTTTGGGCTAAATTAGGGTTAGGGATACGATTAGGGTTAGTACTATTAGGAGTATTAGAGGGTTAGGGTTAGGGACAGGTTTAGGGATAGGATTCGGGTTGGTGTTAGGGTTCTGCGGTTGTAAACACACGCATGTGCAGTACCATTGAAAACATCGCCGCGATGGCAAGTCATAGTTTCTCTCCATTGCGTATTCGTATCTAATTCCGGCTAGCATTTTCTCAAAACTCAAAAAATAGTAAATACCGACTACGATTTTACCCACTGATTTATTTCAACCTTTTTACTTTTTACCTAGATCTAGGTAAAGACTAAATAAATAAAATATTTTATTAACTTTTTAAAAGTTAATAAATTTCCTCTAGGCTATAAAGTTATAAACAGAGCCGGCGCCAGGTTATTTAGCGCCCTAGGCAACACTTATTAAAAGCGCCCCCCTTAGGGTTGCCAGATACCTTTTCCGAAAATACTGGACACCTTTCTATCCTTCCCTTCTCAGGTATGCAGCAAAGCAGAAGAAGGGGGGTAACAGAGTATTATTCATATACTTGTCCAGTATTTTTATTTATTTTATCCTGGACAGTCTGCTCAAATACTGGACTGTCCAGTTCAAAACTGGACACCTGGCAACCCTAGCCCCCCCTCCCGCAATTTTTTTTCGTCCGGGGACAAACTTTCGATTTGCACCCCCCCTTCAACTTTCAATTTGGTTTTCCAACACATTTTGGCTTCCCCCTATTGACAGCGCACTAGGCGACCACCTAGTCCGCCTTATAGGTAGCGCCGGCCCTGGCTATAAAGTACTAATTTTTCACTTAATTATGCACATGTTATTTAAGTTCATCAGGCGCGCAATTTTTTTTTTATTCAATGCCATTTTTAACTATTTTAACATGTTGTTTCTCATTGACCCTATGTTGTACCTAATAGTAACATCATTTATCACAGACAGATGGAATGCTTATACTTTTATAGGCCTAAGAATATAAATTCTCAATATAGGAGAGACTGAACATCATGGCAGACCAGGAGAGAAATTTTCGCACACATTACTATGAAAAAGTGGGCTTTAGGGCAGTGGAGGAGAAGAAGTCCATTGAAATTCTGCTAAAGGAGCAACCTATAAGAAAGGACAAGCTCCTCCAGTTTAGTCTACGCTTTGGTATACCTGCAATGTACAGAACTTATGTGTGGAAAATTTTATTGGGTAAGTGGTTCAAATTTACAGTTACATTTTTACGGTGGGTATTCTCTAAATTTATATTTAGTTATGCATATATAATTAGAATAATAGTACATTACAAGTATAACAATACACATACAATCATAATAGATTAATATATAGGGGGGGGGGGAGGGGGACAAAAAAGTACAAATCATATAACTGTTAATATTTAATAGATATTTTTAATAGCATGGCTGAGGATAAAGAGTTAGTGTAGTTGTGTAGAATTGAAAAGAAAAGAGTGCTGCATTAATGGTATTAATGTTCAATGTATTTGTTATACTTGGAAATATTTTCAATTTTTTAAAGCATACTTTGGCTTTTATCTATTTTAGGCATCTTGCCAGCCAATCAGGCAAGTCAAGCATATGTGTTGAACCACAGGCAAGAACAGGTGAAAGAGCTGGAGCGTGCCCTTGTGCTTCTTTCTCCTGAATACCTGGGTGGGTCACAAGAGCAAAAGATCCTGCGGATGAAACTTATTGAGGATGGCAAACTTCCTCTTCAGAATAAGTTCCTTGTGAGCTTTGTCTTTATTTGTTTTGTTTAGAGATTACCTTGATGCAGTTTTGATTTAATTTGGTTTGTTCCTTTTTATTTTTTAGATTTAGTAGCTGTTCCGGTTTTTACTTTCACTGTTGTGTTATCTCATTAAAACATATTTTGAAAATATTAGATTACGGCAATAATGTTACCTTGATGCTTTAGGAAAATAGGGTGTTTTGCTAGACAATCGGAGTTTCAAAATTAGTAGATATTTTGTTAGTAAATGATTACAAGGTCATTGTGTGTGCTAATTGAAAGGTTAATAACAAAAATTAACATATAATACTTCCCAGCAATCTAAATATTGTTTTTATAAATTAAAATACGAGGTTTTTTGGTGGAAAAAAAGTCAAGCGTTAATTTTTTTTCAATAATAAATAAGCTAAATAAAAGCAATGAAACTTGTATCTCCAGGACACAGATATCAGCAACCAATACTTTGTCTGTATAGCCCAGGCTGTGGGAAGTCTGGTCAGCTCTGAGGTGGACCTGTACTGGATATCCACTAGGTTCTACAAACATATCAAAGACAATTTCTACAAACACGTTCCACAGTTTGTAAGTCACTCTACTTCACTTGCGACTTGCTGATTTTTAGAAGAAAAAAATGTGTTTGGTTAAAAATATTTAATTCAACTTTTTCCTATATTTCAAGCTGTTGCTGTTTTTTTGTTTGTTTAAAACTGTCTTTTATTTAAAATATTTTAAGCAATTATTTTGTTTTGCAATAATTATACTTGTAATAAATTTCAATTAATTAACCTAAGTTAATTCATTGAAATTTGTTTGAAGTATTTTAATGTTTTTTTTTTTTTTTAAATTTACAATATTTTTTCCGAAATCAGCCTGAACATACAATGCAATGTTTAAAGAAAGAGGAAGATGGCAAAAGACTTTATCAACATTTGTATGATTATCAAGTAGTGGATGAGCTCCCCTTGAATGAATGGTTTTACACTTGCTATGCTAATGTTTTGCCAGATAATTCATTAGAGAGGTAACAGGTTAAGAAAATTTCTTCCAACTTTTTTTGCACTATTGTATGTTTATTTTGTTAAGTTGTATAAACACCAAAACACTTTAAAACAAAAATTACCCTGTTTTCGCTGTCATCTCATTACATTATTTCACTTTGAACTCTTTGGAGTTGTTTTTATTTTGGTAAAAAAAAATATACTATATCGTGACCTATACAGTTTTAACAGAGTAATGTAGTATTTCATCCATAACACTTGTAGCTATTTTATTGTGCCTGACTATGATAAAATCTAAGATTAATTTCTTTACCATATTAAGTTAAATTTATAAACTACACATTGAATCACATAAATTTCATGATAATTTTATCATAAAATATAAAATTTAATTGTGACTAACCTTTATATTTTCTGCTACAGAATTTGGGATCGTGTTATTGGTGGGTCAAGTGAAATATTTGTTTACGTTGCTGTAGCAGTGCTGTTGGTGCTGCGTCGACCAATTTTAGCCATGCAATCTGCCCATGATATTGCTAATTATTTAAAACAGGTTAGACTTTACATTTAGTCAAACATTGGCACATGTTGGCTTTGACATTGATTCAAATTAATTTTTTTATTTAAAATTGGTCCATTTTCTCTCACATTCTATTAGGGAGATTAATTTTTTTTTAAAATATTGTTTTGTAAAAATAAGTATTGGTTGAAATTTTTAAACTATTTATTCAAACCAGATCCCAGAAGATTGTGGGGACAAAATTGTTAACGAGGCCTTGACCCTCCTTCACAAAAACTCTGGACAACATCCCCCAAAACCAGACTCACCTAGCACTGAGAGTGGAAAAAACTTGGTGAAACCTGCAGACAGAAACTCTAGTAGTAAACCAACACTTACTAAAACCCAATACAGCTCTGTTGATGGTAGCTTTTCCACTGAAAAGATTGGAAAAAATGTTCTTGAGAAGTCTGTTTCTATTGACATTGGTAGAAGATCTCCGAATGATAAGTTTATTCAAATGTAATTAAAATAATGTATGCTTGTTTTAATGAAGTTTTACCTCTAATAATATGGTTGATAACCATAACATGTTTTAAAAAAGTTTTAAAAAGCATGCATGACTAGTCAATCTCTTCTATGATAGAATTTGCATTTGTATGTCAGTTCATTAGTTTGAATGGTAGTTCATTTATTTGAATAACAGTTTTTTTTAATTTGAATGATATTCTTGTGAGCTTGTTTATTGGTTTGTTTAGATGCTGGTTCATTAGCTTGCAATCAAGCAAATAGAAATGTTGCAGTTGATGAATATGTGATTGGAACTAGAATAATAGTTTTTATACTAAACAATTTAAGCATGTGTATAAAACAGCTGAAGTAGTTGTGTCTGAAGAGAGTTGTGCTTTCTGGCGTGATTGTTCCCCTTACATTGACAGTTGTTCCAATCAAAAAAGGTCATGTATATAACAAAAGTATATTCAGACAACCAGCTGGCTTGGTTGTCTTGTAGAAACTACTTTCGTTAGTTCTAGTCAAATTTTGTGGGTTACTGAAAGTGAAGTAATGTGGCTGAGTTATTGGTTTGTATGCCTTAACACATGAATTGTGATTTTAAAAGTTGAACATAGTATTTAAGAGGTTTTATGAAGATGATTGCTACTCTCCCCTTAAGACAACACCTTGTTTTACCTGAGATGCATAGACGGTGAAAAACACCATCCTTACATGTCAATTTGCTGTATGTACAACCTGCATTCCTATGGAAGCAATTGTGATTTTGTATATGTGTGTGTGTGTGCCGATTGGGGTGATTATTCCTGTATTATTAAAAATGTGCATTGTAAATAATTTTAAATGTATGTAAATTAAAATAAAATTGAAAAACAGTTTTTGGGAATTTTGGATTTAGCAAACAAATTTACTATTTGGTTTTGAAGAAAAAAACCCATCACAACCTCACTAACATTATTTTTATTATTTGATTTTTTTTTTTTAATTTATATTTTTAACAATTTAAAAAAAAAAAATATGAAGAGCATCAGATACAAACATATTAATAGAAAATAGTTTGGTCTGTTGTGTAGTTATCCAAAGACTTACTCTCAAGACTATGTTATAGAGTTTTAATTAATTAAAAAGCCTAATAAATGGTAACAGAGCAGATTACTGGAGACACTGCCATTGTGATTGCTCTGAACAAAAATTAATCTAACACACTTTTTAGCATATACATAATCTAAACAGACATTGTTTCAGAAAAACCATATTTGCTAAGTTTTCCTACATCTAATGACTGTGTGTAAAGAAACTCCTCTTCGGCTACCCTTCAACATATGAAATAATATTGTTAGTTCACGTATTGTAAGAAATGCTACTTTGTTTACATGTTAGGGGTCATACATAAATGACAATATGCAATTTCTTTCTAAAAATATACATCTTTGATAAACTTAGATATTTTTTATTGCAAAGATAAAATAACTGCTATAATTCAAGTTAATTTTCTTTTATATAATGCAATAATGTGACATTTCACTTTTTTAACCCATTCACAACATCACAACACTATACTAACCCCATCTAGAATACACATGCTATATGTAAATGGAATCATTCAAAAAAGGAAGGCATTGGTTGTTTTTGTAACGATTGGAAAAGTTGAAACAGTTAACAATATTTGAATGGGCTAATAGAAAAATGAATCTTTTCTATTTTTAACCAACATGGGATTTGACCATGAGGGATGGTGGTGAGCAGTGTGACACACCTATCATTATGGATGTGGGACTGTGGTGAGCAGTGTGACACATCTATCATTATGGATGTGGGATGGTGGTGAGCAGTGTGACACACCTATCATTATGGAGGTGGGATTGTGGTGAGCAGTGTGACACACCTATCATTATGGATGTGGGATGGTGGTGAGCAGTATGACACACCTATCATTATGGATGTGGGACTGTGGTGAGCAGTGTGACACACCTATCATTATGGATGTGGGATGGTGGTGAGCAGTATGACACACCTATCATTATGTATGAGGGCTATGTGAGAATGTGATGAGCACGTAAGACATCAGGCATTATGAACATAGTTATTTTTTTACATAACAACATTGCAGAAAAAACTCTGTGAAGACAATGCAGGTGTATAACAGGTCTAGCTATACAAAAGGTATTTTCAGTATGTTTTTTTTTGTTTGGTATGTCTCTATGAAAACATCTCATGTTAGTTTTAAATGTGCACTACTATAATGAGTATAGGATACTCTGACTAAAAAAAACTTCCAAACTCATCTTACATTTATCTTAACATAATAAAATGATGTATAGAAGTTATATTAAACACTAATGACATTAATGAGAATCACTATGATGTCTATACACTTAAAAAATAATTCTACTAAGAAACAACACAAAGGCAAGGAATCAACTGTTTTTAAAAAAAAAGTAAGATTCAATGTAAAAAAAAAATTAAAACAAATAATTTTGGGTAAACTGTCATAAAAAATAAATTTTCTTTACAGAACAAAATTTTGAAATTGCTTTAAAAACATTAGCTGTGTCAACACACTGCTGTTGTTTTTGTATACAAATTATAGCAATAAACATAGATAAACAAAGAAAATTTCATAACCAAAATAGCTGACCCGTACTCATAGTATTTGCTTCTAGTCATTTGACACATTAAAAAAAAAATTAGTAAATAATCATTAGGTATTATGATTTTTTTTACAATATGCTCATATATTCATAGGAAAATAAAATCTTTTATTTTTTTTATAAATGTAGATGATATTTATAAGAGAGTTTCAAAATTATGTTGATGACTTATAGTTTAAATGATAGGTATGGGTAATATTTGAGCACTTCATCAAATCCAATTTGGCTGCAGTATAAAAAATATTTTCCAGGTAATAATTCAACGAACCTGTAGTAATAACTGTACGTGAATTACATCGCTTATTTATTTATAGAAAACAAAAAATAGAAACATTTAAAAAGTAGAATAGTTAAACAAATTCAAATTTCTCTTCAGTGATGACAAACAACAAATCCACACATAGGGTCCTGTACAACAAAACACAATGTTGGACAATAAATAGTATAGACAACAACAGAAAAAAAATATTAAATGCGTTTTGTGTGTTAAATTTTAACAATGAGACGCATTGGTTCCAATGGTCACTAGACATACTTAACGTGTACACAGAATTTATTGCTTCTAAAGACACCAGTGTTTCTCCCAGACTTTTTCCTCCGGACACTGTTAAAAGTATATATTTTTATATTTTCTATATATAAATTCCATTTTGGGGGGGGGGGGGGGGGGGGAGACTCTGGCAGAGCCCCCCCCCCCTCCTCCCCGAAAAGATGTCTGGAAGAAACACTGAAAGACACACAAGTAGAAAGTAAATTTAGTCTCTACTGGAAGCACTGAGGGTAAAAAATTTAAGACAAAAGTCACAATTAGAGACACAATCAAAGACAGACAATCTGAGACACAATTAGAAAACAAAATGTAGCCTCTACTGGAAGCACTGGAATAAGGAAGAAGAGTAAAAAATATAATTTTTAAACAAACAAAACAAAACAAATTTGCTTAGTTTCAAGAGATAGTTGTAAGAATAATACTGAGAACTGTATTCAACAGTACAACATTCAAAACATGAAGACACTGAGTTTTTTTCAAACATGAAGAAAACATGTCATTTATTTACAAAATTAAAATCAAATGCCAACCAGGGCATACTGTGTTTTCCTTACAGAATAAGATTCATCAACTAACTGGCATATTGGCTCACAGGGCGATGAAGTAGATTTCATCTGTTTTGCAGAATTGGTATGTGAAAGTGCTGTGTGGTCAGAACCATAGCCAAATGGTCTTTAACTCTCTCCTGACTACAGTCATGTACCCAGACGGATGAAGTAGAGTTAACCTGTTTAGTAGATTTGGTATGTGAAAATATTTGTCCCTGGTTACAGTCAGATAGACTTCAATTACTGTAAAATCAACTGAACTCTAGATGTTTAGGTTAGCAGTCATTTGCTCTAACACCTGACCATACCATCCTTCATATAACATGAGTGTATATTGTCAGTAAATATTAAAATAATAAAAACACGATCAGACAAAATAAGTGAATGTAAGAAGTGACCATTCCAAGTATTTCCAACAGTTTATCAAATCGCTCGGGTACATTAGACCAAGGTTGGCATGCCACTATACACATACAAGTATAGCAATAAGTTTGAATAGTTACAATACATCGTCATGGTCGGCTGAGATCAAATGTAGCGTTTTTACAACAACAAACATATTGAGAATATTTTATATAAATAATACATTTCAAGTTTTGTTGGTGTTTTTACTTGGTATGCAATGAATATCATCATAACATATTCAAAGAGATTAGAAAAAACTAGTTCTGACTACTGATGTAAAAAAAAATTTGATAATTATTTAGAAGATTACCATTAAACAATTAAGTTGTTCACAGAATTTAAAAAAAAAAGTATAACCAATAGTAATTTTTATAATGTATGCCAATAATAGTTTTCTAAAGGATTAAGATAAACATTTTTTTCCAAATTGCTTTTTAAATAATGTGTGACAACTCGGACAAACAGTTGACTCAATGTACTTAGCACAATTAGAGTAGAAAAAAAGGGTGAGGTAGATTTTGTCAGAAAACTTAAGTCATAAAATGTTAAATATTTAGCGTTTATTACCTCAAAAATAAAAATGTTATAAGGTAAAGTGGTTTTTGAAAAACAAAATGTACTACAACTTAATAAGTTAGATTATGAACAAATAAACGAATATTTGAAATATGATTAATAAACAAAACATAACATTTGATGGTCGAACGCAAGTATGCTCGTGAATAAATAATACTTCAAATTCAGCAGAGTAATTTTATCTACGACATGAAGTTGTGAAATTTTTTATTGTATTTACAATTACTCAGCTTACTCTTCTAACTGTTCTAAGCAGTTGTAAATATTTCTCCTTTTAGTGTAGTTTTAAATCAAGACTTGTTTTGCATAGGCAAAAAAAAATAACAACCAAAGATTTTGTCAACAAAATAACATTTTTAAAACAGGGAAGTCTCCATTCATAAATTCTCCATGTGCCTGACTGTCTTAGGGGGAGGGGGTTCTTCGTCAGTCGGCGTGGACGACGTCCTTTTATTTTTGTGGTCAGTTCGAGGCGAGGACAGCCTTTTGACCAGCACTGGATCTCTATGGAAGCTGATAGACACCTCGTCGTCTATTGCTTGCACAGTTTGTCCGGGGGTCAGCTGCCGCAGGGTTTCCATCATCTCCTGGTCTAGTTCAGGTATGGTGGACAGCTATGGAATAAATAGTCAATAAATGATATCTGACAGTTTCAGGTAAGGTTGGACAGCTATAAAAAAATAGTCAATAAATGATATCTGACAGTTTCAGGTATGGCGGACAGCTATGGAATAAATAGTCAATAAATGATATCTGACAGTTTCAGGTAAGGTTGGACAGCTATAAAAAAATAGTCAATAAATGATATCTGACAGTTTCAGGTATGGCGGACAGCTATAAAATAAATAGTCAATAAATGATATCTGACAGTTTCAGGTAAGGTTGGACAGCTATAAAATAAATAGTCAATAAATGATATCTGACAGTTTCAGGTAAGGTGGACAGCTATAAAAAAATAGTCAATAAATGATATCTGACAGTTTCAGGTATGGCGGACAGCTATAAAATAAATAGTCAATAAATGATATCTGACAGTTTCAGGTAAGGTTGGACAGCTATAAAATAAATAGTCAATAAATGATATCTGACAGTTTCATGAATGGTGGACAGCTATAAAATAAATAGTCAATAAATGATATCTGACAGTTTCGAACATCTTTTGATCTAGCTTAAGAATGGTGGACAGCTATAAAATAAATAGTCAATAAATGATATCTGACAGTTTCGAACATCTTTTGATCTAGCTTAAGAATGGTGGACAGCTATAAAATAAATAGTCAATAAATGATATCTGACAGTTTCGAACATCTTTTGATCTAGCTTAAGAATGGTGGACAGCTATAAAATAAATAGTCAATAAATGATATCTGACAGTTTCGAACATCTTTTGATCTAGCTTAAGAATGGTGGACAGCTATAAAATAAATAGTCAATAAATGATATCTGACAGTTTCGAACATCTTTTGATCTAGCTTAAGAATGGTGGACAGCTATAAAATAAATAGTCAATAAATGATATCTGACAGTTTCGAACATCTTTTGATCTAGCTTAAGAATGGTGGACAGCTATAAAATAAATAGTCAATAAATGATATCTGACAGTTTCGAACATCTTTTGATCTAGCTTAAGAATGGTGGACAGCTATAAAATAAATAGTCAATAAATGATATCTGACAGTTTCGAACATCTTTTGATCTAGCTTAAGAATGGTGGACAGCTATAAAATAAATAGTCAATAAATGATATCTGACAGTTTCATGAATGGTGGACAGCTATAAAATAAATAGTCAATAAATGATATCTGACAGTTTCGAACATCTTTTGATCTAGCTTAAGAATGGTGGACAGCTATAAAATAAATAATTAATAAATGACATTTGACAGTTTCCATTATCTCCTGGTCTAGCATTGTGGCCAGCTATAAAATAAATAGTTATTTAATGATTTCAGACAGTTTCCAACATCTTTTGATCTAACTATAGAATGGTGGATAGCTTAAGATAAATTAGTCATTCATTTTTATCTGACATAGTTTCCATAATCTGATGTAGCCAGGAATTGTGGACAACTAAAAATGAATACTAGTCACTAAATGTTACTTATTTCTATTTTCTTGCTTGGTGTGGCAGTGAAAAAGGTAAGTAAAGGTAAGCAGAAGAATAAGTACTCAGTAGGGAAGATGTTTTAGATGAGTGTATAGTGTGCAGCTAAAGGCTGATGGTTTCATATCATCGTAAAGACGTTTCCTTGGCTATTCTCACAACATTTTTTTAGAAGAAGAAATGACATTTTCTGAGTAAAATAATAATTAAAATAATAAATTTTAATAATACAAATTTTATATTGATTTTAAAAAAAATTTTTGTTGTCTAAAATTTAAGGAATTATTTAGTTACAACTTTATAATACCAAGCACAAAATGACAAGACAGATCAGTTAGAATATGTGTATGGAATCAGCTACTCACTGTGGATAAGGTGTCTGGCTCCCCACTCTTCCCAATCAATGCTGGCATGTCCTCTAGGTTAACTGTGGTCAGTTGCCTGGTGTAAAACAGAATGTAGGCCTGGGAGCCAAGTACTTCAGTGAGGGGGACCAGCTGGACACGGGCATCATTACAGTGGAGCCAGGACTCTGGGGAGATGGAAATACACTGATAATTCTATAGGTAGATTACAGGTAGGTATTCATTGAGATGTTAATACACTGATAATTCTATAGGTAGATTACAGGTAGGTATTCGTTGAGATGTAAATATACTGATAATTCTATAGGTAGATTACAGGTAGGTATTCATTGAGATGTAAATACACTAATTCTATAGGTAGATTACAGGTAGGTATTTGTTGAGATATAAATCTACTGATAATTCTATAGGTAGATTACAGGTAGGTATTCGTTGAGATGTAAATACACTAATTCTATAGGTAGATTACAGGTAGGTATTCATTGAGATGTAAATATACTGATAATTCTATAGGTAGATTACAGGTAGGTATTCATTGAGATGTAAATATACTGATAATTCTATAGGTAGATTACAGGTAGGTATTCATTGAGATGTAAATACACTGATTCTATAGGTAGATTACAGGTAGGTATTCGTTGAGATGTAAATATACTGATAATTCTATAGGTAGATTACAGGTAGGTATTCGTTGAGATGTTAATACACTGATAATTCTATAGGTAGATTACAGGTAGGTATTCGTTGAGATGTTAATACACTGATAATTCTATAGGTAGATTACAGGTAGGTATTCATTGAGATGTAAATACAATGATAATTCTATAGGTAGATTACAGGTAGGTATTCATTGAGATGTTAATACACTGATAATTCTATAGGTAGATTACAGGTAGGTATTCGTTGAGATGTAAATACACTGATAATTCTATAGGTAGATTACAGGTAGGTATTCATTGAGATGTTAATACACTGATAATTCTATAGGTAGATTACAGGTAGGTATTCATTGAGATGTTAATACACTGATAATTCTATAGGTAGATTACAGGTAGGTATTCATTGAGATGTTAATACACTGATAATTCTATAGGTAGATTACAGGTAGGTATTCGTTGAGATGTAAATATACTGATAATTCTATAGGTAGATTACAGGTAGGTATTCATTGAGATGTAAATATACTGATAATTCTATAGGTAGATTACAGGTAGGTATTCATTGAGATGTAAATACACTGATAATTCTATAGGTAGATTACAGGTAGGTATTCATTGAGATGTAAATATACTGATAATTCTATAGGTAGATTACAGGTAGGTATTCGTTGAGATGTAAATACACTGATAATTCTATAGGTAGATTACAGGTAGGTATTCATTGAGATGTAAATATACTGATAATTCTATAGGTAGATTACAGGTAGGTATTCATTGAGATGTAAATACACTGATAATTCTATAGGTAGATTACAGGTAGGTATTCATTGAGATGTAAATACACTGATAATTCTATAGGTAGATTACAGGTAGGTATTCATTGAGATGTAAATATACTGATAATTCTATAGGTAGATTACAGGTAGGTATTCATTGAGATGTAAATATACTGATAATTCTATAGGTAGATTACAGGTAGGTATTCATTGAGATGTAAATACACTGATAATTCTATAGGTAGATTACAGGTAGGTATTCATTGAGATGTAAATATACTGATAATTCTATAGGTAGATTACAGGTAGGTATTCATTGAGATGTAAATATACTGATAATTCTATAGGTAGATTACAGGTAGGTATTCATTGAGATGTAAATACACTGATAATTCTATAGGTAGATTACAGGTAGGTATTCATTGAGATGTAAATATACTGATAATTCTATAGGTAGATTACAGGTAGGTATTCATTGAGATGTTAATACACTGATAATTCTATAGGTAGATTACAGGTAGGTATTCATTGAGATGTAAATATACTGATAATTCTATAGGTAGATTACAGGTAGGTATTCATTGAGATGTTAATACACTGATAATTCTATAGGTAGATTACAGGTAGGTATTCATTGAGATGTAAATACGCTGATAATTCTATAGGTAGATTACAGGTAGGTATTCATTGAGATGTAAATACACTGATAATTCTATAGGTAGATTACAGGTAGGTATTCATTGAGATGTAAATACACAGATTCTATAGGTAGATTACAGGTAGGTATTCATTGAGATGTAAATACACTGATAATTCTATAGGTAGATTACAGGTAGGTATTCATTGAGATGTAAATATACTGATAATTCTATAGGTAGATTACAGGTAGGTATTCGTTGAGATGTAAATACACTGATAATTCTATAGGTAGATTACAGGTAGGTATTCATTGAGATGTAAATATACTGATAATTCTATAGGTAGATTACAGGTAGGTATTCATTGAGATGTAAATATACTGATAATTCTATAGGTAGATTACAGGTAGGTATTCATTGAGATGTAAATATACTGATAATTCTATAGGTAGATTACAGGTAGGTATTCATTGAGATGTAAATACACTGATAATTCTATAGGTAGATTACAGGTAGGTATTCGTTGAGATGTAAATATACTGATAATTCTATAGGTAGATTACAGGTAGGTATTCGTTGAGATGTAAATATACTGATAATTCTATAGGTAGATTACAGGTAGGTATTCATTGAGATGTAAATACACTGATAATTCTATAGGTAGATTACAGGTAGGTATTCGTTGAGATGTTAATACACTGATAATTCTATAGGTAGATTACAGGTAGGTATTCGTTGAGATGTTAATACACTGATAATTCTATAGGTAGATTACAGGTAGGTATTCGTTGAGATGTTAATACACTGATAATTCTATAGGTAGATTACAGGTAGGTATTCGTTGAGATGTTAATACACTGATAATTCTATAGGTAGATTACAGGTAGGTATTCGTTGAGATGTTAATACACTGATAATTCTATAGGTAGATTACAGGTAGGTATTCGTTGAGATGTTAATACACTGATAATTCTATAGGTAGATTACAGGTAGGTATTCATTGAGATGTAAATACGCTGATAATTCTATAGGTAGATTACAGGTAGGTATTCGTTGAGATGTTAATACGCTGATAATTCTATAGGTAGATTACAGGTAGGTATTCATTGAGATGTAAATATACTGATAATTCTATAGGTAGATTACAGGTAGGTATTCGTTGAGATGTTAATACACTGATAATTCTATAGGTAGATTACAGGTAGGTATTCATTGAGATGTAAATATACTGATAATTCTATAGGTAGATTACAGGTATGTATTCGTTGAGATGTTAATACACTGATAATTCTATAGGTAGATTACAAGTAGGTATTCATTGAGATGTAAATACGCTGATAATTCTATAGGTAGATTACAGGAAGTTAATCGTTGAGATGTAATATGCTGATAATTCTAGCAGTAGATTAGAGGTAGATATGTTGTGTTGCAAAGGTTAAAATGCATCCACTGGCCTAACACCATCTCCAATGATAAACTACAAGGAGAGATGGAAATGGAAGCAGTTTCCAAGATAATTGAAAAAATTAGATGGTGCTGGATGGAGCACGTCCTAAGAATGAATCCAGATGATATTGCAGGAATAGTGTTAAACTGGATGCCTCACGAAAAAAGTGGAATTGCATGGCAGGGAAGCAGCTGGCAGAGGCAGGTCTGTCATGGAGGACTGCCTAGAAAATAGTTAGACCAAAAAAGTGGAGGGAGCTTTTTGTGCCGGCCCCATGTGTCTTGGGCACAAAATGATTAGAGGTAGATATTTGTTGAGATGTAAATATACTGACAACTCAGGCAGTAATTAGAAGTAGGTGTTTGATAAGATATAAATATAATTTTGAACATGCATTTTTGCATCCAACACCAACCACGTCAAACACCAAGCACACACAGATCTATAGCACTGACCAGCGTAACTGTTAAAGGTGTAAGCTGTGTAGTGACCAGCTCTGAAGCCTGCACCATGGTGGACAACCACAGCATTCAGTTTGTACTTGGCCACTTCAGGCTTGCCTTGGCAAAATGGGGAGATGTCTAGTTCCTCATCAAATGCAACATGGGTGCCAATCTTCTCTCTGTGATTTCGACCACACCACCTAATATTTAGAGAAATTATAGCTTTCAGTAATGCATAATAAAAACATTTATAAAAGGGTAATAAAGAATATGACCTGAAGGTCAAAAAGGTGGGTGAAGTAGAGTTCACTTGTTTCAATAAACATAACATATGAAAGGATAAAATGTATTTATTTTAATTCCCAGCTGCCTTTACTTTTCCTAATGTCTCAGGTACCCACTAGCGCTCAGGGAAGTTCTACTGACTCAATCCAAGATCCAACACATGACTTTTGGATACAGTTGTGCCAGGTACCACCTCGTTTCAGTATTCTTATAATAAAGAAACACATTTATATATAGTAGACTTAAACTTTTAAAATTTAACCTCAAGGTTTCAGTGACTGTATTAAGTGAATAAAAATAACAGATGTACATATGGTAACAGACCTAAATCTTTTTAAGTGCAGCCTCAAGATTTCAGGGGGCCTGCTGATGAGCAACTGTTTCTTTGCATTGGTTCTAACAATAGGCTGTCTGCTTGCAGGCCTGCGTCTCCTTTCTAAACATTCAAATTTTAAAGATGTTTACTGACAATGTTTAGGAAAAATAAAACATTTCTACTGACAATGTTTAGGAAAAATAAAACATTTCTACTGACAATGTTAAGAAAAATAAAACATTTCTACTGACAATGTTTAGGAAAAATAAAACATTTCTACTGACAATGTTTAGGAAAAATAAAACATTTCTACTGACAACGTTTAGGAAAAATAAAACATTTCTACTGACAATGTTTAGGAAAATATACAATAAAAGCTCAATTGTGAGCCCAACATCAACATAGTATGTTTTGTTGGTGAACATGTCTTATTGCTAAACTGTGGACTTACGGTTGCATTTTTCACATATATATGACAGAGGCTCTAACTCTTCTACATCTGTGAAAGTTGACAGCATTTCTATAAAAAACATAACAGAATAAAAGTTAGCTTCATTTATAAACCATGTTTTAATACTAAAATAGTACAGTAATTGGGAACAATTTAAAACTAAATTAAAATTATAAATAAGTATACTTTACACAAAAAAAACAATATTGAAAACTAAACAGTTATTGGAGAAAATCTGAACTCACAATTTTAATTTACTAGGTGCACTACAGTATAAAAAGTAACCTTTAAAGGAATAAGATTGCAAACTATAATTTTTCTTTCTTAAGCAGGTTATTTTAAAAAAAAAAAAAAAACAAGCTATTGAAGAAAATTGAATTCACAAAATCATTTTTGCAAGGTAAGATTACATAAAGTGGGTAAGCCATACACTTTCTTGTATATTTGTATTTAACAGTAAGGGTCAGGAAGCTTTTCTAGGTTAATTAGGTTATAGAAATGGCAAGAGAGTTTGTGACAAAACTGCTTGTTTTTTTTTTTAGAACACACCAAGAGCAAAAATGTTCTTAGAATGTACTGCTTTTAAAGAATATGATATAAAATTATCAAATTGAGAATGTTGTTGAGAAACCAGAAATAGAATAAAGTACACTTCTGATTACCTGAGATAGTTAAAAGGTTGAGAGAAACTACCTTTAGGAACTGGTACTTAAATATGAAATTACGTCTTGGTACTCAAATTATTGGGTTTACACACATACATAGACATACACTCAGACAAGATTTTTCTAACTCAGGAAGGTTTAAAATGCCAAGCTCTGTCCAAATCTCAATTTAAATTTTTTGCACATTTACAATTCTTCCTCCTGCAATTTATATATGCAGTAAAAAAGTAAAGTTCCCTTTCTGAACCTGATGGTCAAATAGGGCAAGTGAAGTAGAGTTCACCTGCTTCTGTGACCTCGCCATATGAAAGGATAGTTCAGTAAGCACTATGACCAGCTGCCTTTACTTTACAAAACATAAGTTAGGAACCCATAAAAGCTGGGTGGACTCAGAGACATTCTATTAATCCCCAGATTCGAACTTGAGACTTTCGGGTTAGTAGTCTGTCACTCTACCTGTAAGCCATGCTATCCCCTGTATACAAGGAAGTAAAAGAAAATAATTATTCTAACCTGTGAGGTGACACATGTTACGCTTGACCTGACTTGCTGTGTACTGGAAACACCTGGGGAACTCCAGTGAGAGGTCAAGAAATGGTTCGTGTCTTGATGAAACGTTGGTGCACGACATGCAAGTGACCTGTAGATAAAGAACAGGAATCTCTCAACCTAAAGATCAACTTGTTTTTTATATTCATCAACAGGATAATATCTTTAATCTGAATATCCAATCCAAATGGAAGTCTATATAATAACTTCACATAAAATATAGCATTACTGTTAAATTAATTATGAGGGTAATGAATGTTGGCTATATTATAAAAAAGCAGATTTAAATAATTTTTTATGCTTCCATTTTGCCCATCACAAAATGTTAAAATAACTTCTTGTCTAGATTAAAAGAAAAAATATTTCGATAGGCTAAAAAAATAAACCTGGCTAGTTTAAAGGAGACAAACCTGGCTAATAATTTCACCGCGAAAACTTTGATCAACAATGTTTTCTACTCCATTACACTGGGGCAAGTTTTCTATTTCCTGAGATACTTTGTCCAGAAGTTCACTAGCAATCAAGAAAAAACAATTTAAAATAGAGATATAATAATCTATAATACTAATTATACTATAATTCAAAACATATGATCATGTTATATCAAATAATAATTGATAATTACACAAAAAAGAAAACTTACCATAAAAATTCCTGAGCATCATGTTGCAAATGACCTTTAAATGCTGGTATTGCCTTCCACACAGCATGCAAGAATCCATGGGGACTGACCTGTGCCCATTTACCTGACCATAAAACACGGAGGAGGCCGTGCATCTCCTGACAAAGTGATCTGGGGAAAAAATGGGTTTTGTTGTGTTGTTGCCATTTTAATTTTAACACAAATTTTTAACACTAATGGTTTATTAAAATACAAGTAATTTTAGATATTTTAATAATTGCCGTGACTGACTACGAAATCACCTGTGTCCTTAATCCTTAAAGACAACAATAGAAATTAAACCTAACACTAGTCTTAATTCTGTAGTGAAAATGGCTAAAAAAAACATAATACATCAGAGATAAATTTTACAATAATGCTAATGCTTCCAGGTTCCTAACCCTAATAAAATACCAGCAGAATAAAAAAAAACAATTTGGTATGATTCTGTAAAACCCCAAAACAATAAACTTAACTAGTCTTAATTCTGTAATAAAAATGGCTAAAATAAAGCATGATATACCCAAGACAAATTTTACCACAATGCTAAAACTTCCAGATTCCTAACCGAAATACCAGCAGAATAAAAAAACAAATTAGGTATGATAAAAACCCCAAAACAACAGCAATGAAAAAAAAAAATGAACACTCAAATTGACATAAACTCACAAAGTTTCAAGAGCCTCTGATTTGACCTGTTCCATTGGCTCTATAGGGGCCTCATCCAGAGGTTCAGCACTGGCGCTACTGCCTCCACCATTCAGGCCACCTTTCTTGCTGGGATCACTGGCTGAAGATTTTATACTGCTGGATAGTTGTGTTGATGGCCGGTAGTTTAAGTGCTGAGAAAGTTTAAAACAAATTTGATTAAAAATCAAACATAAAGTAGCAAGGGGCTGGAGCTGGGATGGAAAAACAGGTACTTGTCAATATATATTTTTTTATGTAGCAGGCATGGCATGTTCTTTATTTAAACCTATAACCCTTGCATAATTCTAACTTAAAGGTTTATAGTAGAGTTATTGCAACTTCCTACTTAATGAAAAAATGTGTATAACTAGAAAACACAATTTAAATATATTTTATTTAACCCTTTCCCCGGCAACATATTTGGTACCCTGTCCCCGGCAACTGGGTGGATCACACCCTAAGACTTTCTTATAGTAAATTCTTTTCTTTGTTCATTGTGGGGTGGGTAACAATACTGACACAGTTAAGGTATTCAAGGCACAGAGGCCATGGAGAACACAAGACATGTTGTTGTCAATGGGAGAGCTGTAATATGATACTAGTGGTTGATGGGATTCTCAAGCAAGAGTTAACCTGTGGGTGGACACATGTAGTGATTTATACTCTTTGCTGGAGCTCTGACTTGCAGTTACAGACAGAACTGTAGTTTAGAGTTACAATAGGTTAACGAAATGCAGGGGTAAGATTGCCTGTGGGAGGACATATATAGTGATTTGTACTCTTTTAGGGAGCTCTGGAATGTAGATAGAGACATTCGAGCCTTTTAGAGTAACTTGACATTAAACTCATTAGGAGTACGAATGAGGACAAAAAGGCAAAACAACTTTGTAATGCTGCTTGAAAGTTAATACTGGGCAATTAATTGATCAAACTGGGAGTGGGGTGGGTGTTCTACAGGTTGTGACCCTGAGAGTAAGGTTTATAAATAGTCACAAACGTTATTGAGAACACAACAGAAACAAGTCTTGAACGCTTTCGTCTAAACTCAAGTGCTAATGATAAAGGAATGTATTTGCCAGTTTTTGTATAGCAGGTGAAAATGACCAACAAGTTTTGAGTCTGAACTATTAGTATCAGAGGTAGAAGATGAAGAATGGCAGCCATCAGTATCAGAGGTAGAAGATGAAGAATGGCAGCCACCAGTATCAAGCAGCTCTGATGACGAGGTCTACCCAATATACTGCATTTCAACTATCAATAATGTGTCAACAGTTGGCACTCATAATGAAATGAAACGGCTGGTGCAAAGTGAAGAAAAAGAAATATTTTCAGGAAAGACAAAGTAACAGTACACCAGACCACTGCCTGAAGTGCTAATCCCAGGAAATTTATAAACAGCCTGACTCAAAATATTTCTTCTGTACATGAATACAAAAAAATACAACCAATATTTGACTGCATTAGCAGGGATGGAGAGAAAGCAAGAGGAGACACTGGCACTCTGCAGAATAACAATTTAGTTGTATGTCAATTCAGTTCTGCTTATGGAATTTTTGAAGGCAGAATTTTCTATGAAGAAATTCAGCAACCTTCTGGGTCATATTCACTTCACAACAATAACACTAACAGTCCATCAGGCTCATGGTATATTTGTTCCCATTATGGTAGATATTCCATTCAAATTTAGAAAGGTGTTATGTTTCTGGAGATATCATTACTAATTAGCAACTGGTTGATTTTAGAGGTGGGAGTAGATTTATCCAATACATACCAAGCAATTCCGATAAGTATGGAATTAAAATATTTAGGGCATGTGACTCATGTAACACCACTAAAAGGGTGACCATATTTTGTCAAAGAAAACTAAAGTTCCCTGCCAGCAAAAGGAAATGTCCAGTTATTATAATTTTAACTAACAACTGTGCTCTCTGAGGTGCTAATTATTAAAACGTGTTAATGTTCTATTATTTTATTACTAAAGTTGATTACTTCAATCCTGTTTGATATTTTCGTTACTCAAATACCTTCAGATTGTTAATTTATATTAAACTTTGAAAATGCAACACAATGACTTAACCCACAATGAGTAAAAACAAATTATTAGAAGCCAGTTTATAAGTTATAAATATTTTTTTCCATTCAAAATTGTTTAAGGGTTTGTAGCACCCAGTTGCCAGGGACCGTATAAAAAAATTTCAAACCCTCATAAAAAAATTTTTTACGCATATTTTTAAAATTTACAACCTCCAATGTGTTCATCCCAACCACCTTATAGATGGGAATGAGGCCCAGAAAAGTTTATAAAACGAGACTCGAGATATGAGCAAAAATATAGTGACTTCGGGTCGATTACACCCAGTCGCCGGGGAAAGGGTTAAAAAATATAAGTTTAGACTTATCTGCAATTATTGTTAAAAAGTAAAATGTAACTTAAATCTAAGTTTTAGGTTTTAAAAAAAAAAATTTTAAAACCTCCCACTATTCCATACCTGGAAGTAATCAACTGTGTTGAGCCGGACATTTCTGAGGGACAAAGGGGAAAGACTGGAGGGTGATGAGCCAGGTACAGGAGTACCACTGGGAGAAAACAGGCCAAACACAAGCTGGCAGAAATATTCTCGGAAATCTTCCAAATGGCTGAAAGCATAGAGCGCATAACATGCACTTATATTAACATTTTACCTTCATAAACAACAGTATTTTATAATATTGTTAAACAAGTTAATTAAAAAAGTCTAGTGACATTTGTGCGCAATTTCCTTATGTTATCTAAAAATAGCTCTGACGTATAATGTTGGGGTGCGTTCAAGCTAGAAGAACAATCGGTTTGTAGGTGTTTATGTAATTTTAAAATTTGTGACCGAACGAGAGAATATTTTTGAAAACTTTCTTCGGCAATATTGTTCTAAATTATGACAGGAATCGATTGGTACATGTTTCAAGTCGCTAAGTGGTCTGGTTGCCGAGATATGGGCCAAAAACTGCATTTTTTGGAGGTTTTTTGGCTTTTCCGGGAAATACATGAAAGAAACCCGGAATTTTTATGGCCTATGCTCATTCTCGTAACTTGCTTAACATAATTGCTTTTGGAACTATTCATCGATATTGCTTTGTTGAGGAGGAGATACGACTTAAAGCCCGGACACACATTCATCCATCCATCCATTCCCAGAAATGACGAGTTAATAAACGCAATTCTCCAGAATGGAAATTGCGCTAAAAAAATATGTGTGATGTTATTTCTAATGTTGACTGCCATAAAAATAAATGAAAAATAAAATAGATGTGATGTAATTTCTAATGTTGACTGCCATAAAACTGAATAAAAAATAAAATAGATGTGATGTAATTTTTAATGTTGACTGCCATAAAACTGAATAAAAAATAAAATAGATGTGATGTAATTTCTAATGTTGACTGCCAATAAAACTAAATGAAAGCACAATCTAGTCTCTATGACAAGTTTTGATTTTGAAATTATTTAACCCTGAAGTTTTATACCTTCTTTATTAAAAAAAAAAACCCCACATTTATTTTGGACATTTAGTATAAACTTTAAACTAGCATTTGACTTGAAATTTAGAGCAGAGAAAACAAAAATAATATTCCCAGTACTAGATTTTTGTTTGTAAAATGTTGCAGTAAAGAAAGCAGGCAATACGCTTTTTTTTTTATAATGGAAAAAAATAACTTGTTTAAAATAAAGTTTGAGAAAATTCTTTAAGTTAAAAAAATGGCCTTTTCATGAGATTTAACTTTCCAGTGCTCCAGTGTTTTTATTAGGTTGCTCAAATAAATGTAGAGGTTACCAAGCCAAGACAAAGAGGAACAAAATCCCAAAATTCATATACATTAAATTTATAAATAATTAAGCAGTTAATAAGCAAAACTTTTTTTAAAAATAATTTTCAACTCACCCAAGAGACTGTAGAATGGAATTGATGTAGCAGGTGTTGCCAAGGTTACGGAGACCAGTGACCCCAGGAATTAGTGTCCTCCTCTTGACGTGGAATAAGCTGGACCTCGCCCGCGTCAGCATTGGGGGTTGCCCAGATGAGGTTTGACTTTTTTTTATCTGAGCTCAACCAAGCATAGAGAATTGGTTTCTACTTTATTTACACCCTAAGATTCTAAACTTAAATACAGTTCCCCTTGAATATTTTTTTTTCTCAAGACACATAGAGCAGATAAAGAAGAGTTTATTTTGGTGATGTCAGCCCAGTGGCTTTAGTTTTCCTTAATGTAAGTCAGGTACCCATTAGAGCTGGGTGGACTCAGGGAGAACCTATAGACTCGAGTGAGGGATCCGAACTCGAGACTTTTGGGCTAACAATCGTTCGCTCAACCATCGAACCACACCATCACATAATACTCCAAATATGTTTTTTAAAAAAAAACACAAGAATATACCTTTTGCTCTTTTTCATTTTGTACATAAGTTTGCCATGCCGACAGCACTCTGGAGAGTAATGCTTTTCTGTGGGACATAAATTTAAAAAAAAAAAATTAACACTCTCTCTAATGAACAGCGGATTGTTTAGTTCATAACTTTAACTAAATATATTCAGGGATAATTCAATCTTGGATGGATAGATCCATGTTGTTTAAGTTACACTAAGTTAATTATACTAAGTCAGGTTAAAGGGGAGGGTTAACGATAGTGTTAGTGCTATATTTAAATTTTGGTTAGCACAGCATCTTTAATGAAAACCAATCCAAAGCTTATCTCAATTGTTTATAAAAACCACATGAAAACAATTGACATGTAACAGAAGAATATAAGACAAACCTGTGGTGGCACTCAGCAGTGATATACCTATCATCCTCGTCTGCATTTGTCCTATAAAAAATAAAATAAATTGTTAAAATATTTTTAAAAAATAATAATTGATCTTTGCTTAATAAATTTAAAAGCAAAGTGAAATACTGTTTTATAAGGCAGATAAATAAAGTTAATCTATTTTATTAACTTTGTCATATACAAAGAACTGTTTGATCAAACAAGCTACTTTTACTTTCCCTGACTTGGGTCAGGTACTCATAAGAGCTGAGTGTACTCAGGGATGCCTAAGTGACTTCATCCTGAGATTTAAACTTGACTTTGGTTGGTGTTAGCAACTATACACTCAACAACATGATCAGGTTACATAATCATTTCAGACCTGATGGCCAATAAAGAGCACAACAGTTTTTGTGACCTCAGCAAAATATAAAGGGATAGTGTGCAATGCGGCCTGTCTTAATTTTCCCCAACGTCAAGTACCAATCAGGGGACGGAGTGGTCTAGCGGTAGAGAGCTAACCGTAAGTCTCGAGTTCAAATCCGGGTTCAAGTCAGTAGACCGTCCCTGAGTCCACCCAACTCTGATAGGTACCTAACTCACGTTAAGGAAAGTAAAGGCGGCTGGGCATAGCGCTAACCACACTATCTCTTCATATGCCGAGGTCACAGAAACAAGTGAACTCTACTTCACTTGTCCCATAGACCGTCAGGTTTGAAAGGGAAACTTTACTTTTTTACAAGTACCAATTAGAGTTTATTGGACTTAGGGATGAACTATGGGCTTGAACTCTATTGAAATTGAGACCTGGTTAATAAACATGTCCTCTACCACTCTACCATGTTGTCCCATAAGTAAGTAAATGAAAAATAGAACTAGCAAATGAAAAATAGAACTAGCTGTTTGCCTTGAAATTTCTTGTTGGTGCGTGTAGGACTGGAGCAACTTTCCTCCTTTATCAAGCGCCTCCTGTGGGGACATGGTACCAATGTCTGTTAAAGCTGTTCTGATTGTTTCAATGTCTCCATTTTCAAGGTTTCCGATAATATATTCATCACAAATGTAGCTGAAATACAGTGTAATATAATAATTGTTTACCATTTTACTATTGCTTAGAGAGCTAAGAAAAATAAACCTTAAATTAATGAATAAAAAATAAACACTTGCTTTGATTATTTATTTAAAATTTTCTAGCACTTCAGTGAAGATTGAAAGAGTAATTGAGTATTTTATTGAGACATTTACATCTTGTATTATTGATATTACACCACCATTTCTACAATCAGGGTGTGATTGAGAGTAGAAAGAATACCACAACATAGCTTCAGTATCACCCTGTCTTTTAAGGATAAAAAAGTTTTAGAGCCACTGTACTACACTTACCAGTAAACATATTTTTCATTTATCTCTATTGCCAGTGGGTGCTGGGGAAAATATATAACACACTTATGAGACAGTTTACACAATTAAATAAAAAATAAATAAAAACAACAGAGACATGTATTAGCTGATTCACACAACAACAAAAATTCAATACACACATTTACAATAAGAAACAAACAAAAAAATCAAAGAAATTTTACTCTTTTGTCCTCATATAATTATGCAGTTTGACAACATATATTACAAAAAAAGGGCTATAATTAATTAACAAATACCAACTTTAGATACAAGGATCATGACAAACAATGAACAGGTTTAAATTCTTTAATGTTAACATGTAGCTGATGTTCAATAGCTTAAAGAATGCAAGAAAAATATTTTAAAAATTTCAGGAAAAAAATGCATTACTGACTCACCTGAGTTGTCTGAAAGTGCTTCTCAGCATGTTGTTCATTCTGTCGACCACAGGCAACATTAGAACAACTCAAGCATGCCTGGGAAAATCAGTTTAAAAAGGTTAAAAAGTCATTTCAACAAATTTTAACTAAACGCCACACATGCGAATTACACCTGAAAAGTAACTTATTACCACAATAATTTTTTTTTAACTGAATTTTTAAAATTAACACCACATTTATCAAATATGATTCAGTATAGTGGACGAAGTATAAACATACCCAAACCGTTTCTGTCGTGCCACATACTGAACACTGCCAACGTGTAGGGTCGAGGATTGAATCAATGTTAGAAACAACCAGTGTCTCAACGTGTGGGCATTTTTCCATGTTTGAACCAATCAACTTTGTTGGTTTTAATTATATTTCCATTGCAAAATCAAAGAGGCTGAAAAGTTTTAGAGGGAAATAATGACTCCAATACATGTATACTCACAATTTAAATACTAAATGTAAAAATCTTTTTCCACTAATTATCTTCTCTAGGTGAAACAGTGAATTAGATTAAGATCCAAATATATGCTTTACTAAAATCTGTCCCAAGTATAAGACTTGGACATTAACAAAGACTACAGGAATCTTTACTTTAAGTATGTATTACTATGTAATAATAACTGTGTATAAAAAGCTGCAAGTAGAAACTTTATTAAAATCTAACAAGATATCTACTAGATATGGTCTCCTTTGACTTGTGGTTTAACCTTTAACCCATGGTTTAACCTTTAACCCTTACCATGTAGGAAGCTAATGAAGCTTTAGTAAGAAAAATAATAGTTATAGCACTAATAATAGACAATACAACTGTCATTAGAGGTCTAAAGTTAATAAATAAATACTAAACTAGATTTAGGCCTAGATCTAATGATATAGATCAGGGGTCTCCAAACTTTTCAGTCCGAGGGCCGCTTTAACTATCAAATTTCAGTTCGGGGGCCACTTTCTTCCTGGCATGTCTTTAATTTTTCTGGTCAAAATTCCTCAGCCATCTCCAACAAACGCTTTTTTCCGTGGACAAAAATATCTATGCGGGCCGGATGAGAGGGCCTGGCGGGCCGCATGTGGCCCGCGGGCCGTAGTTTGGAGACCCCTGATATAGATAAAACTAGTGAGTAGACCTCACCTATGCAACATACTCCTAAGCAGAGTTTCTTCCCCCCCCCCCCCCCCCCAAAAAATAATTCTACTGCCCCCCTGAACAAAATGAAATTTATATAATTTATATAGAAAATATATACTTTTAACAGTGTCCGCCCCCCTCCCCGAAGAAAGTCTACCCCCCCCCCCCCCCCCCAAAATTTCAAGTGCCCCCTCGGAGAAAAAAGTCTGGAAGAAACACTGCCCTAAGTTAGTTTAATCAGTTAATGAATGAGTAGGCTTATAATTAGGATCTATAATCTAAGACATTTTAAGTAAGGTTCTAACTTAGAATCTAAGATTTAAAATTTAAACTAAGAATCTTTCTAAGAAATCTAAATCTATCTAGATCTAGATATCTAGATCTATTTATTTAGTAGTTATTCTAGCAATGTAGTCTAGTAGTAGTTACTAGTACTAGTGGTTAGATTTTCTAGTATTAGTATGACTAGTATTAGAAATCTAGTAAGTTATAATCTAAGAATCTAAGACCTAAGAATAAGATAACTTAAAAAAAAACTGTTCAGCCTAGATCTAGAACTAGAATCTACTTAATTTTTTTTTTAACTGAGCTTAAATAATAGGCCTAATAACAACCAGCCTGTCTTTTGTTATTTTGGCAGGTATATCATACATTTTTATCACTAAACACACAAAAGCGACTTATTTTCTCCCACTTAAGAAATGGTCTTTCTTCTTTTTATGATGTTTTTCAGCTGTGATTTCTCTTTCTTTTCCGTACTTTTTTTTTAAGATGCCAATTTTTTTTTTTAATACTTTTCTAGATTTAGATCTCCTTGCTGTTTTTTCTTTAAGAATGATTAAAATGATCTGTGTGGCATAAAATCGTGCGACGTAATTAAAATACTTTATAAAGTAGATAACCCATTCTGCGAAGATAAAATAAAAACAACACAGCACTTAAAATTTCAACACAGGCCATACCTAGGGACTTTGAGAAAATTTCCAAAATGATTTACCTAGGTTAAAAAGCATATCATCTTAAAGAGCTACATCAGATTAAGACAAAACAGTTTACTTTTTCAAAATTGGACATTCCGTTTTAAAGTTATGATTTTTTTACTGAATTAAAAGTTACTATAGGATTTGGTGGTAAATTTCGCGGGCAAATTTTGTGTGTTCTTCATATAAACCAATTCCAAATCTCTATTACATGGAAATTTGTATTCAAATTTTCAGAGTTTCAAGATTAATATGTTATGAGGCAATTAAACTTAACATATTTGTAAAAATATGAAAGGGATGACAAAATGTGTGCCTTGAGGTGATGCAACCCCCCTAATTTTGTAAAGTGACTTTTTTCAAGTTTATCATTATTCTAAATCTAACAGGTTATCAATATCAATATTATGCCACAATCTGAATGTGTTAAGAGTCACTTAAGGGACCTTTAAGGGACCTCATAACCTGGAGCTTTGTAATGTAATTTTAGACTCATTTCTCTCCAACCGGTAAAGGTTCGGATATCGCCAAACATAAATCTAGACAAAAATAGACAGCAAAATTAGTTAAAAAAGAATTACTCCATTAATGGTATTAATAAAAACATATTTTAATATAAATTACATAGTAATTTACATAGTAATTTATGACCACAACACTAACAAAATAACAAATCGCCTTGAACAACATCAGTTAATAACTAATAAGTAATGTACTGTCAATAGAGGCGCTAACATTGTCATCCTACTCCTCTTTTATTTGCAATCCAATAGGCTACTCCAAGTGAATCTACACTTTACTGCTGACTTTTTTCTTTAACTTAAAAAAATTATACTTCTAAAACAGATCTCCCCCCTTTAACATTCCACTTATGTTTAATCCTCGCCCCCTCCATTCTACAAAAAAGTAGATAAAATTTCCTGTCTCTAGCATCCTATCATGAAGTTATTTTGGCATGAAGATGACTTACAACAAGTTGTAGCATTATAATTTAGTTGTTCTCCTAATTGCAAAACCTATGCTGCTGTCTTCTGTGCATTTTTCTTGTTACTGGCAAAAATGTAGAGCGCAAAGCCATCAGAATTCTGTCCTTCTGTGAACTAACAAGAAGCTCCAAGTCCTGAAGAGATTTGGAAGGCCACTCCATTTGAATTACTGAAATAAGAAATAAAAGCTTTGAATGCATTCTTTTTCTTATTATATGATACTAGAAAGTAATATGTTAACTTGTACACTCAAGTTTCTATATTGTTCCAAGAAAACGAAATCCTAATTCAATTTTGGTCCAACACTAAATATTTTGAAAAAAAAATAAAATATTGTCTTTTTAATAAAATATAATGATTGAACACTGTTAAAATATAAATATCAGTTGCAGATGCCTTGAATTAGTTGAGATTTCAATAGATACATAATAGGTATCATTGTTCTTAACCAAATCGGCCATTATCGATAATAGGTAACTATCGCCATTTGCCGATCGTCGGCTTAAATTTTAAGACCATGTTCACTTCGCGAGGCATTATCTAATTCATGCGAGGGTTAAATTTACAAAATAAAGACTTTATAAGAAACTTAAAACAAAAATCTAGGTGTATCTTTTAAAAAAAAATGACTATCTTGTTTAGATATTAAATAAATTAAATATTTATACATACCTGTCCGAGAAGTGTGAATTACTCGAAGATACGTCGATGGTGAAGAGAAAAAGTTTTAATCAATAGAAAGGTGGATTATTCCTAGGTCGATATTCATGACGATTTGAGTGAAGTGAATGATTTTTAAATGAGAATCTGGCTTTATACAGTGAGCTATGTTTTGCCTGACGGAAACCAGAATCAAGTTTGATACGGCGGCGGTAGCGCAGTTTCCGGCCCGAGATTTGACGGATATCGTAGTCCCTACCATACCATTCGTTTCGTTTAGTTCCTTGAAAGCTGAAGGCCTTCACCATTGAATAAAAAAAAAGAAAACAAATATCACGCAGTAGCATCCCTTTAGCAAGAAAATCTTCTGCGATTTATTTCATGTATTGTAGGTCCTAACGGTATCTGCATAGGATAAGGCCCTAACACAGATTTAATTATTTTATTTGTTAATTTTAAACTCATTTCTGTATACATCTAGATCTACATTCTTGATAGATCTATAAATATTTAGCGTACATGTAGCTTACTAATTATTGTATGTCATAAACATTGTTTAGGCCTAATTACTTTAAAATAATCTTCAATCACACCCCGTAAAAAATGCAACCAGCTTATAAAAAATAAATTTAAATAAAAAATAAATTGTACCTAGAATCTAGAAAAGGTATAGATCTACATCTACATTTGTTTTAAAAATTAAATAGCATTAGTCTTAGGAGTCGAACCCAAACGACGTCAAACTTTTTGGCGATTTTTTAGCCTGCGTACAGTGTTTCTTCCAGACTTTTTTCTCCGGGGGGGCACTTGAAATTTTCGGGGGGGCGGTAAACTTTCTTCGGGGGGGCGAACACTGTTAAAAGTATATATTTTCTATATAAATTATATAAATTTCATTTCGTTCGGGGGGGCGGTAAAAAATTTTCGGGGGGGGGCTTCGCCCCCCCGAAGAGATGCCTGGAAGAAACTCTGCCTGCGTATCTGCCCCCAGCCCCTTACGATCCTGCCCCCACCACTCGTTATCAATAAGTCCGACACCCCCCCCCACTAGGATTATAATGTCATTTATGTACAACCTCTTATTTTAAAAAAACAACTGTGAATATGAATTATTTATATATATATATATATATATATATATATATATATATATATATATATATATATGTGTATATATATATATATATATATATATATATATATATATATATATATATATATATATATATATTAGTCTTATTTGTCGAATAAACGTTGCTGTAAGTTAAACTACTAAAATAAATTGTGCTTAAATTATGCCAGTTTAAACCGTTGTTTCTTCTTTACTTTTTGGTGATTTACCATAACAGGCACGTGAACCAATGCATTGTCTAGCTGCATCTATATTAGCTGTAGAAGGAGTCTAGATTTTGCCTCCCATTTTAATATTGGCCTAATCATGCACGCTATGTATCTTGCGGCCAAAACTGTACTTTAAAATGCCGTCCCCAATGTATTGATTGAAAAGAAAAGCATTGCTAGGAAAAAGGAAATCCGCTACATGTAGATATACCCCGAAATAAAATATATAGATCTTAATCTTAGGTTACTTCGAGGAAAAAAAAATACATCGCCTATTCTTTTATTTAAGTCAACAGACCACACATTACTAAACAATACCGGATACTCAAAAAATACAGCAGTCTTAGTTCGCATATTAAATATTAAAGTTGCAAAAAGTTCTTTGTGTACATTATTTGACACAGTGGCGTAGGCAGGGGGGGGTCATAACCCCCCCCCCCCCCCATAGACCCCTCGGTATATATAAAAAGTATGAGGGAGGGGTTTGCAAATCGAAAGTTTGTCCCCGGGTAAAAATTGGAACCCCCCCCCCCCTTGAGACGATCCTGGCTACGCCACTGATTTGACACATTTCACAAGATCGAACACATTTAAAATGCAGGTTTACATAATTTACAATAGATTTTAGGCAGAATATTGTTAAGAATATGCCTACTACTTTTTCTAATGGGGAGAACTTAGTAAAATAAAACAACATTGTGGAACTGCTTTTCTTTTTCCTCAGATTAAATACAAGTCCCGTCTGTTTAGATCTAGATTTTAAAGATCTAGATCTAGATCTATTATGGATTAGATCTAGATTCTAAATAACAGAAGGACTAGCATGCGTATTTTGCATTTTGTTCAGTTCGCGCAGTTTTTGAAAACGCAAGTAGCAAACGTAGAATCAGCAATGATAGCTCGCCGACACCACTTGGTTGTCTCCCTTGCCTTAGTCTGGAGCGAACTACAAGTTCACTGGAAGAGTTCAAATTTAAATAGGGGTTTCAAGTTATGCAGCAAAGTAAAGCTAATTTGTCATTAACTGAACGAGTAGCTTAAACTCATTTTAAGTTTGTGGTCGGTTATATTATATTTGAGCTGTGTATTTTCCTTTTACTAAATATTATATTAAATACATGTTCGACTATAACGTCTTGTATTCCCAGTTATTGGGACTGTCAGTTTTAGAAATGATCTGAAACATGGCGGACGAGGGTGAAAACACGAATGGGATTGTAAATACTATGGAAGATAAAACAGAAGAAGTTTTTCTAAATGGAGATAAAAATGAGTGTTTAAATGTTTGTGATGAAGAAGAGGAAGACGAAGAAGACGACGAAGACGAAAATGGAGTATGCATTTCGGATACAAATTTACCGGACCAAGTTATACCTCGGAGATCTAGTCTAATGAATAAAGATGGAAAAAAACGATCCAATAGGAAAAAAACCGTTTCGTTCAGTAGTATGCCTACGGAAAAGAAAATCGCAACAGGTATTGTTACAGTTACAGTATTGATGATTTTATAAATTAATAATTATGCCTCTAATAATTAATTGAGGTTATTTACTACTTATTTATATAGATCTATAGTCTAATAATGCCTAAATTATTTTAGAGACCTTATTACTAATTACATTCAAATAAATTAAAAACTATCCAGATCTAAAACAAATCTTCAAACTTTAAATTTAATACAACAAACTTAATGATTAAATAATTAATTCGTTTTTTTTTTTTTTTTTAAATATCTAAAATAAATCTTAATTGCATTTGATATTATAAGCTAGTTCAAATTATTAGGCCCAGGGGCCTACTTATGATAGTTTTAAAATTTTAATATAAGGCTTATTCACTTTTTATTCTAGATCTAATTATTAATAAATCAATACAGTGTATTATATAATATACTATTATATTCCTACACAATTTCTTCACTATTTTACAAACATGTTATTAAACATGCAAAACATCTTTCTAATATTTTATTAATAATCATGCTCACATTTAAAAAGGTCACTGATAGTGATAGCAATTTTTTTTTAATTTAAATTACAGTCCTACAAAAAAAAAAATTTATTGGATAAAACTTAATGTCAAAACATTAAAAAAGTAAAAGCCACCATAATTTTAGAATTTTTGTATTTTACTGTTGGCCTGAATTATTGAAAATTTTAGGTCTAATAATTTTTAATTTTAAATTCTATAATTTAAAATACTAGTTTTATTCACATTTGTTTAGTCAAGTTACAATAAAAAATATATAGATATTTCTAGAAGAATCAGTGCATCATTTTTGTTCTGTAAAACTAGATAGGCCAACATAGGGATGGTTTGTAAAAATAAAATCTTTAATGGGTAAAGGTCATCATGTTTTCTTTTCAGTAGTTTCTTAATGTGAAAAGGGGGGAGATGGTGTGTGGATGACACCGAATAAAAAATCATATAATTTACTGACAACAAATAAAAAATGATAAAATTGTTGAAAGGGGCTGGGGTGACACCCTCTGTTACTGCACTGGATAAAACCCAACCAAGTGATACCACTGTTTCTTCTTTCCTAATCTTTGATGGTCAGATGTATCTGGGTCAGTTTTCCTGCATAATCTTCTAAGATGGTTTATGTGTATTATGCTATCTGTTTTGGAATAATGAACACACTGGTAATCGTCAAGAGCACTGTTGGAAAATCAGTTTAAATATCTTCTTTGAATTTAAAAGAAACTTCACTTTAACAAGTTTTGGTTATTAGAATTACCACCAACAAATGTATACAGTTTCAAAGCTTTGGCCTCCTGTGTTGAACCATTCCTCTGATTATATCATTGTTGACATGCTAAGCTAGGCCAGGGAAGTGTGTTTAGGGGGGGGCACTTGTTTGTTTAGTGTAGCAGCCTTACAGTAAATATTATAATATTTATTCTGGTTTAAATTTTAAATTTTGTTTCGGTTAATGCACTCGGAAATGTCTGCTTATCTAATATTCACATCTGCTTAAATATTATTACTTGTTCTTATAGGCTTAACATATAAAGGAAACATTTTTATAGAAAAAAATGTGGTCTTTGTTTTATAATCCATAAATTGCCTAGAATAGACTAGAACTGGTTAAACATTAATGGTATTGATCCATTAGCAATAATAGTTTGGTTTCAGGAGCTTCAGTGCATACCTTTTTTTCTGACTGTGTCGGTATATAAAAAACATCTAGTAAGTTTGAATAAGATTAAGAAGGGATGCAAACTATAGCCTGATTATGGAGGGCAGTTAAATATAGCCTATTAAAAAGGGCTACTAGCTATGGTCTGATAATGAAGGGCTACTAGCTATGGTCTGATAATGAAGGGCTACTATGGCCTAATAAAGAAGGATTACTATGGTCTGATAAAGAAGGGCTACAGTGGCTTGTTAAAGAAGGGCTAACAATAGAAAAAAAAACTATTCTCTGATGAATATAAGCTACTCTGCCCTGAAAAAGACGGGCAGATAACTCGAGTGTTATTCTCTGTGTTGCCAAAACACCTACAGTGACAACAGGTGTTCACCGGGCCTTGAAATTTCTTAAAGGCTGTGTTTGGTAATGGTTAATGTTCACTGAACCGTGCCGTATTTATCTTAAATAATTATCTCCCTTCTGTTCTCTGCCTCGTATTCACTTGGTGCACTTTGCGCGAACAACAAACCTAGATAACAATCGGTTATGGAACTTGGGCCTATTGAAATGTGTTTAACAGTGCAGTGTAACGTATGTCCTTATGTAATTGTCTAAATATTTTAAACTGTTTTAATAGGTTACGTGCTGTTAGATTTGCGATATAACGTTAAGGGATAGATACAATGGTAAGGGTAAAACAATATCGTAACTACGTTTAGTTGGGGGTAGGGCAGTCCTCGGTACAGTTGTTCTTTTCATCGATGAATATATAGGGCGCGTCAAATACAAACGCAAGATAGTATGATAGAGACTGTTCAGGAAAGTTC